TGAGACGGCCTGCGTCGTCTGCGGCATCGGCGCCTGCTGCTGCTGCTGAACCGGCGGCAAGCTCGACGGGACAAAGTAGTACGTCCCATGGGGCGTCTCGATGGCCTGCGGAGTCTGTGACGAGACGGGCACGGCGACGGCGTAAGTCGCGCCGTTGAGGGTGGTGAACTGGACGGGGACGTAGGGCTGCGGCTGGGACGGGTTGGCGACGAACTGGAACGACTGTTGCTGCTGCTGAGGGTACGCGCTCGGCTGGGGACTGTAGAACCCGTGCTGCAGCTGCGCCGGCGGAGCGGGTGGGTGCTGCGCGAGGGCGGGCGGGAAGTCGAGTGACGAGGGCGGCGCGCTCTGGACGAACGAGTACTGCTGGGCGTGTCCCTGTTGCTGCTGTGCGTTGATCCCGTGCGATCCGGTGAACGGTTGAGCGCCGTAGTCGAGCGAGTTGGCGAACGTGTGCTGCTGGTCGAGCGCGGCAAAGACGGTCGTCGCCTCTCCCGCGGCCATGGCAGCACTGAACATGTCGCCCGTCGTCGTCGTCGTCGTCGTCGTCGTTGGCTGTTTGAGCGCGTCGACGAGTGACGGCGGTTGGAGCGACTCAGGGACGAGAGCCTCGAGGTGCTGCGAAGCCGACTTGGGCGGGTTTGTGAGCGCGTCGAACGGGCGCAACGACTGCACGGGGCGAGTACCAGGGTCAGCATGGCTCTGGACACACTCTAGCCCGTCCGACTCGCGCAAGAACGAGCGCAAACGAGCGAGTCGACGACGAGGAACCGCGGACGGACCTCTGCGAACGCAAACCCCTCGAACGGGTCCTCCTCCAGCCCAGCTGCAACGACGTAAGCCTTGTCCTCCATCGGACTCTGCGCGGGCGGGGTGGACCTGAAGCTGGTTGCGGGCGAGGACGAGTGGGACGAGTAGACCGAGGTGTCGATGTCGGACGAGGCGGCGGCGTGCCAGTTGAGCAGGAGGGTGTCCGGAGTGGGCGAGGCGGGGTCGTAGAGTGTGTCGGGCATGGTAGGGAAGGCGTGCGAGGTGTAGTCGGTGAGCGGGACGGTGTGAGGGAGCGAGGACGAGTGCTGGGAGACGAACGTCGTCGGAGTGACGAGCGAATCAAAGTCGCGCTGGACGTCTGTCGAGAGTGACAGCATGGCCGTCGTCCTTACTAGCACAGTACTGTAAGCGTGTAAGAGAGCGAGGAGGAGAGCGAGGGTTACGAGAGGGAGGGACCCCTGCCAGGGACGAGGGTCCTCACACCGCCTCGCCGACAACGGGAATACAACGCTATTCTTGGGGTCCCTAATCACCCGCATTACAGTCTCGTGTTACAGGGGAAGAACAGCGCAGAGGAGAACGAACCAGGCCGCACGAGGCGAAGGTGGTGTGTGTGAGCGGGAGAGAGCCGCTTGTCGAGGGGTGCACGGGGGGATTCGAACGACCGTTCGAGGGGGAGAGTGTAAGGGCGAGAGCTGCAAGAAAAGAGAGCGAGGGTGGACGAGAGGCGAGAGGGGCGAGGGGGAGAGAAGAGAAGGGAGAGAAGCCGGATCGAAGGAGGGGAGATCAAAGTCGCTAGACGAGTCTTTTCTGCCTTGGAAAGAGGAGGGTACTGATGGGGTGAAAGGAAGAGTGTCCGTAGGGTATTCGAGCCTGGAGAAAGTGGCGTCGCGAGGGTTTCAAGAGGAAGAGGCAGAAGAAGGCGCAGGCGGCTTGATCACTCCGATCGGCTGGTCGTTCGAGCCGTGCCCCGAATCCTATTTCTTGACGACAATCGGGACTGCGGCCATCGCAAACGGGCAGGTCAGTCTACGAGCTTGTCGAGCGAGCGAAAGGACCAGATCTAGGAGAGGCGACGCACCGACGATGACGATGACGAGGACGGCAATAGCGACAGCAATCAAGATCCTCATCTTCATGTCCTTCCTGCGGACATCAAGGACGGACAGCGTGAAGCGGAGTCAGCCTCTTTCGAGACATCCCAGCCAAAGTTGTGGGCTCTGAACGCACCACCACTGCGAGCGAGCGAGCGAGTCTCATCAGCATGTGGCAGTGCAGAGAATTAGTGAGAGGGAACGCACCATCTGCTTGCGGACCCGGTTGGCGCCGCGGCGGAAGCCTTGTGCGCTCTGGGCGAGCGTGTCTGTCGAGAATCAGGGTCCAGGTCAGCGCATCCGTGGCGAACACTCCACCATTACGAGCCCCCGTTTCCGCATCGTGCTGAACGAGCAACGGAGGCGTATGGCTAGCGAGTCTCGCCAATCCCCAAGCCACTCGCAACTCACCCGTCTTGTCCTGCAACGCATCCAACCTCTCCCCCCTCTCCGCAACCTTTGTAATGTTCTCCCTCATGATCCCAACCGTATCATCAATCTGCTGCTGAATCTTGGCCGTCTTGTCATTCGCCTTCCCACCCGCACCAGAACCGGAGGCAGAGGGACCGGGTCCGCCGCCTGGCTGGTTGGGGTTCGAGCCGGGGATGTAGGGGTCGTAGGGCTCGGACCTGTTGCGAGTCAGGCGGTAAGAGCGAGGAGAGAGGAGGTCAGTGTCGGGAGGCTCTTGTCGAAGGAGGCGAGATGAGCATGTGGCAGCGGCGCAAGCAGGGCCATTCAAGCGAGTCCAGCGGTCTTCCTCAACGCAAGCATTCCTTCAAACACCTTCCCACACCCTCCCGTACCTCTCTCACGGCGCCCACCGTCCCCGCCCCCTCATCAACCCCCTCACGCCGAGCCCTCGCTCCCTCTCCGCCCTCGCGCGTCCAAACAGCGAGATAGAGCGCACATGTCTTCGAAATCGGTGGTGCTGGGGTAGGTGTTAGAAGCGTAGGCCAGGGTGGGCGTGGGAGGGGTGTGCGTGAGGGGTTGGAAGGTGAGGGTCGAGGGGGGCGGTGTGGGTCAAGGTGCGCGACTTTCGTTTGGGCTGGAGATGACGGAAAGGTAGTGCTGTCGTCGGACTCGTCCCAGTCGTGATTTCGGACTCGTCCCTACCGCACGACGGAGCGAAGAAGCGGTCTCGGAAGTCGCCACATGTTGCAACGTTTCTACAAGCACACACACAGTCAAGTCTTTCCGACCGAGGAGTTCTACATGAACCTGACGCGCCCGTGCAGGCCGGCGAAAGCAGCGAGGCGCCAGAGGACGACGAGAGCCGCAAGGATCCCTATGTACTTGCCTGTGTCCGCTACAACTTCGTCAGCATTTCCTTCCTTTGTCCTCAACAAGAAACAGATAGGCGCACCCGTCCCCCCGTGAGGCAGCCCAAACGTGTCCAGCACCTGTTCGCCTGTCGTCGCGATACATGCGCCCGAGGCGATCTCGCTTGGCGAACAGTTGAAGCGCAGCCCGGTCATCTCGTTGATGATCTGAAGCTCGGCTTGTGGTCGCATGGGCGAGATCTGCGTGGGCGAGAGCCTCAATGGTGAGAGAGAAGACGGGGGAGGAGAACGCCGCAAAAAGCATGGCGAGGGAAAGCAGCGGCGAACTTACCCAGCCAATCACAACGAGAAAGTACGGCATCGTCACCGAGATGATGCCATTCAGCTGAGCCAGCAGCGTCAAAGCGGCCGAGACGAGCGACGTCGCCAGCCCGCCGTTCGAGGTGTACGCCGAGAAAATGATCTGTTGCCAAGCAATGTCAGCGGCTGGGCAATGGAGGGATGGCGAGCACTGGACGCACCCCGACAGACTCGCCGGTCGAGATGAGCGCCCATGAGGAAAACCAGAACTCGAAGAACTTGCGGGCGGGCGAGTACTGGAGGTTCATGCCGAAGGTGAAGATGACCGAGACTGTGCGAACAGCAGCAAGGTCAGTAGATTGAGAGAGAAGGCTGAAAGGGTCGCAACACACAGAGGAACGAGCTGATAGCGGAGGTGATCGTCTCTTGGATCGTGTAGACGCTCAAGAACGTCGTGACGCCGTACCTCGCGCTGCTCATAAACTCGTGGCGGTAAAGGTTCATCTCGCTCGGGAAGATAGCGATGCATGCCAGCATGCCAACGAACGGAAGTGCCGTCGTTTCCTGCAGCAACCCGATGCGGTCTTGCGAGCTCGACGGCCCGAAGCCGAGTCGGGCAAAGTAGATCCAGAACAGGAGCGCCATGAATGGCGGGTTCGACAGGCGGGCGACGAAGACGTCCGGCTGACGACGGAGGTTCTTGAAGCTCCTCGCGAGGACGACCGGGAATGCTCGTGCGAAAGGCGTCTTCTTGAGCTTGGCGGAGCCGAGAGGGCGCTTGTCGCCAACGTGCGAAGGCGAGGCAAGCGTCGAGCCCGAGTTGCGCTTCTCCAGGTCGGCTTTCTGCCGCTGAGCCCAGGTGTCGACAACGCGGGCGACGCGTTGCTTCGTCGCGGCCTCGGCTTCCTCCGAGCGGTGGTCAAGCGAGACGGCGTCGATGATGAAATCGGCGGGGCTGTGAGAGGAGCTTCAGTATGGTGAGCAGGCGACGGACCGGTGAGCGAGACTTACTTGAAGTTTGGCGGACAAGTCTCGCCAGCCGACTCGAAGAACGGCAGGATCTCGGTTGCGGGACCCGAGAAAGCCGTTCGACCTCCTTTGGCGAGCAAGACGACGTTGTCGAAGAGCGCCCAGATGTCGGAACGTGGCTGGTGGACCGAGACGACGATCGTGCGCCCGTCCGAAGCGAGGTCGCGCAGCGTCTGCATGACGTTCTGAGCGGTGAAGGCATCGAGGCCTGTCGAGTGACGAGGGTGTCAGCGGACTGCAGGGAGTGAGGAAAGCGGCAGAAGTACCTGAAGTTGGCTCGTCCGCATACAAGACCGCCGGATCCGACAACAGCTGTACCGCAAGCGACAGACGCCGCTTCTCTCCACCACTGATCCCCTTGACGAGCGGCCCGCCAACAAGCGTGTCGGCACAAGTTGCCAGGCCGAGCAGGCGGAGGACTTCTTCAGCTCGCGCATCGCATGCGGCGACGCTTCGGTCCTTCAGGCGCAGTCGAGCAGCGTAACGAAGGGTTTCGCGAACGGTTAGGGCGGGAAGGTGATGCGAGTCTTCCTGCAAAGTCGTACGAAGGCGGTCAGTTCGTCGAGCGGTAAGAAGCGAGCGAAGCTTGACGGGCCTGTTCGACAAAAGCGACCAGCGACGCGAGTGACGAGTCGAACTCCTGGTTGTTCAGCGTGATCGAGCCTTCCGAACGGAACGCCGACATCGGGCCCGACGAGAGTCGACCTGCGAGCATTTGCAGGAGCGAGGACTTGCCGGCCTGCGAGGACGAAAAGTTAGTACTTGACTTCGGATCGATAAGCTGTAGGGAACCGCACTCCTGAAGGCCCCATGATGACGCTGACCTGCCCAGCAGGAAACGAAGCGTTGGCATTCTCCAGGATGACCTTCTCGTCGTTCCCACCCCTCCGTCCCAGGTTCCGCCGCGAGACGACCAGTCGCAAGTCGTTGACGGCGACGTCAACCGAGCGCTTCGACTTCGTCTTGATGAGGTCGGCAAACTCGCCCTTCGTCTTCGAGTCGTGCGAGTCCGACCGCTTCGAGGGGGCGTGCTGGGTGACGTGCTTGACCCCGCCTGGGTGGTAGGAGGCGAGGATGATAGTCGCTAGTACGAAGGTGACGATGATGAAGCCGAGCAAGCCGAGAGGGTAGACGTAGAGCGGGGTATCGAGATCGAATCGCATCCCTCGCAGGACGTTGATACCCTCGCACTGATTGCGCGCAGGCCCTGTGACACCTTCGCATGCGAATGCGCGGCCTCGGAACTGGAGGAGGGCGATCCAGTGGAAGCCGTAGAAGTAGGGGCTCAGCCAGCGAGTCCACGCGATCCAGGCGCCGAGGTTCGTGATGAGGTAGCCGGAGGAGAGGAGCATTGGAATGGAGAACCCTGGAGATGCGAGCTTAGCGCTCTGAAGCCTCTCCGCATCGAAAGTAAAACGCACCGTTCGCAAGGAGGGAAGCTTGGGCGAACGACCGGTTGATCGCGCAGCAAAGGAGGGCGTAGGACCACGCTGCAACTTGCTGCATGATGCACTGCGCGATGAACGACAGCAGATTCTTGGCGAGGTCGTCTCTTCGGAAGCCGGTCATGAAGTCTACGGATGCAGGCGTGAGTGCGCCATGGGCTCGAGTGAGATAAAGAGACGCACAGACGATGATGGCGTAGATCGTGGGGAAGACGACGTTGGCGGGTAGGTAGCTGAGGAAGACGGAGACGACCCAGGGAACCGTCTTGTACATGTTGTCCTCCCGTTCGCGGTCAAAGACGACGAGTTCGCCGCAGAGGATGAAGACGGCGAGGATGATGGCTATCCGCCGGTGTCGTCAGAGACAGCTTGAGCTCAGGGACGAATAAGACGCACAGAGATAGTACATGGCGGGCGTCGAAAAGTACACGACGGTCTTGAGCGACTGGACGCCGCTGGGGGTCTCAGGCGGGTTGAGGAAGACGAGACCGACGACGACGCCGATGCTGGAGGGCTCAACTGTCAGTAACGACCATGTCAGCGAGGTAAGAGGGCACGTACATGATCGCCTGCACAGCGAATCCAACCAGCTGGCCGTAGTTGCGGAAGACATTTCGCAAGCCGCGCCGGGTAAGGAGCGCCGTCTGCTTGACCAGGTTCGCTCGCTTAAGCTCCTGCTGTGCGTCGTCTGCGCCGTCGCCTGGCATGCGCGCAGCCTTCTCGACGTCTCGGCCTGGTGTAGCGGTTTTGGCCTGCCGTCCAGGCGTGGGACCGTTCGACGCCGCCTGCGGCCGAGGCGAAGAACCGGTCGACGCCTCTTTCCGCCGCCATGCCGAGACGAGAGCACCAACACGCTCCTTGGACGACTCCTCCGCGTCGTCTGTACGGTTGTCAATGCTGCTCAAGTCGATGACAAAGTCGAGCGGGTTCGTGTGTTCAGGAGCTGGGTATCCGAGTGAGTCGAAGTGAGGGAGGATGTCGCGTCCTGGACCGCTGTATACGGGACTGCCGCGCGAGAGGAGGAGGAGCTTGTCGAAGATGGGGAAGGCGTCGGAGCGGGGACCGTGGAGGGTGACGATGACGGCCCTCCCTCGACGAGCGAGACTTCGCAGCGTCTCGAGAAGGCGAAAGGCGGTGAAGCTGTCGAGTCCTGTTGTTGGCTCGTCCAGGACGAGGACGCTCGGCAGCTGGACGAGCGTACAACCGATCGTGAGTCGTCGCCGTTCGCCGCCTGAGATGCCCTTGCGGAAGGGTCCTCCAACAATAACACTCGCCGCGTCCGCCAGTCCCAGCTCCGTGATAGTCTGCTCGACGATCGCAGAGCGAGTCTCTGCCGGAACAGTCTTGGGTAACCGCAAAGCAGCGGCAAAGGCAAGTGTTTCGCGGACAGTGAGGAAGGGAAGGAGGAAGTCGTCTTGTCGGACATATCCGATGACCTTTTTGGCGGCTTTGACGCTCAATGGCTGAGTAGTCGCGAGCGTGTCGGACGAGGCGTAGGACGAAGAGCGTGCGAGGGGCACGACCTCGATCGCGCCGCTAGACGTCTCGAGGCCGGTCGCGCGCCCTGCGATGGCGTTCAAGAGCGTGGCTGTGAGATGGAAGATGTTAGAGAGAGTAGTAATACGAGGGCAGAGCGGGATGCTGGGTCTGCGAGCAGAACGACGACGAGGAACGTACTCTTGCCGCTGCCGCTCCCGCCGATGCTGCAGGACGATATGGTCAGCTTCAGATGACAGTCAGAGAGTATGTCGACATACATAGCCAGCACTTCACCCGCCGCGATGTCCGAGTTCACGTTTCGCAACAACTCCTTCCCCTCGAGCGCCTCGGCCTTCTGCAGTCGTCGCTGGACGAAGCGAGGGACGGTGATGGGTATCGCGAGCGGCAAAGACCACTGAGCGGGCGGTGCGACGATGGCGAGGTCACGAACGACGACGGCGAAGGGTTGCGGCGGAGGAAGGGACGAGAGGAGCGAGTCGGACGCCGGGACTTCGCCAGGCTTGTGAGGTGACTTCTCTGCAGCCATTGCGTCCTGCACGACGGCCATCCGAGCGCTAGACGAGCAGCATAGGGTGAGGGTCAGAGGCAGAGGATCGAGCGGCTGCCGGCGTCGCTTCCGGGCGTTGACGACGAAAATCAAACTCGGCGAACGAACAGCAGAGCAACGGAGCGCCTGAGGATGACTGCGATACTACTGCTTTGCACCTATCTCAAAGACGCCGGCAAGAGCGGAGACTGCGAACCTTGCCGACAATCTTTCGCCCGTTCAGCCGTCCCAACGACGACGCCAGCATATCTACTGCGCCGACGTCGACTTGCCCGTGATAGCTCTGAAGCCACGCTTGAGGAGACCGCCGCCCGCAGCCTTTTTCTTCTCCATGTCGCGGTGGACTTCCTCCTGCAGCTCATCCTCGTCGAGCTGGCCGCCGACGGCGTACTGCGGGTGTATAGAGGGTTAGTCACCGGCAAAGGGCCAAGAGTGGAAGACAGTACGTACCCAGACGACCGTCAGCATGCCGATGAGCGCTGTGAGGACGCAGCCTGCGAGAGCGCCCTTCGCTCGAGGAGTCCTGTCGACCCGGCCATGAAGTCAGCTTCTCGAACTCAAGCGGCGCATCGCTGACGAGAGAAGCGCGAGAAAGCATATCGACGCACCAGCCAAACAAGCCCGCCGCATACTGATCCACAGGTCCATGCGGTGCGCCGCTCAGATCCGTGACAGACATCTTGCCCGCCGCGTTACCTGTCGGCGAGATGCCGAGCTGCTTGCACTGGTCGATCATGACTTGCGGGATCGTCATGGATTGTTGGGCGCCGAGCGGGTCGACCATGAAGACGACCGCTAGACCGGCTTCCATGTGCCTGCAGTGCGGGTGGGGGTCAGCAACGAGCGCTCGAGGCGTGGAGAAGGCCGACGACGAACCATTGAACTGCGAGGAAAGAGCGGAAGGAAGGAAGAGCAAGTCGAGAAGGTCAGCTTTCAGGCCTCCGTCGCTCCAGCTAGACGATGTGGCGTACTGTGGCAATGGCTGCGGACGTCGAGCATTCAAGTCAGACTTCGCTTGTGGCGGAGGGGGAAAGCAGGCGGCGACGCACAAGATCCAAGCTCCCGGGTTGTCCGCCCTCACAGCGAGGTTGACAGCACCTCCAGCGGGAATAATGATAGTATCGCGGCGCATGGGGTTCTTGGCGCCGAGTGTGTGAGGAGGGTTCAGTGCTGGATCGTCGGAGGTGACGTCCATCGCGACTGCAAGCGGGAAGAGCAATCGTGAGCGAGGTGAGCAAGTCGGAAACGGAGGGAACGGCACGTACGGCGAGTGAGCTGATACGAGAACCCGTGCAAATGGAACGGATGCGCGTTCGCGTCAAAGTTGATCACCATGAGGTCGAGGACGTCTCCATGGTTGAGGAGGTGCTGGGCGGTTTGTGGGCCGTACACGTTTGGGTTGAGCGAGTCGTTGCCCATCGTCATCATCGTGAAGAGCGAGGGAGTCTTCGGGTTGACGTAGGTGATGTTGTTGAGCATTGAGGCCCTGTGAGAAGATTTGGAAGGAGGTCAGCTCCCGGTCGCGACAGCGCCGCTCATACCGAGAGACAGGATCCGTCGCTACTCACCTGTTGACACCGGTGCTAAAGGCTGCAGGAGAAGACTCGTTAGCTAATTCGTCTACCAAAACCGAGAACCTCGTGAACGGACCATCAAAGTAGACGTCGAGCTGAAGCGACGTCGTCGGCGTAAGCTGCTCCATCGGCACGAAGGGCACCATATCAAAGTCGTTGATGCGGCCAAGCTCGTTGCGAACCTCGCTCTGAGCAACGGGGTTGCCGTTCTTGTACGAGATAGTCGTCGTGTAGTCTGCTCATCCCTCATCAGCTTGTGCGTGCGCAGAAGTAAAGAAGAAGCGCACTAAGCGTCAAGCCCTCAGGTACCTTATCGAACATCTCGTCGTCGAAGTTGGCGTGGACAAGGAAGTTCTCCGAGGTGTCGTTGCGGGCGGTGACAAGAACCGAGTAGCGCTGCGCGACGGCAATGTTGAGGTAGTCGACGGGGAACTCTTCGGTGTCGACCTGGATATTCGGAGGCGGAGGCGTGTCAGCGAAGGAAGCGGTCGAGGGAGGAGCAGGAAACGCACGCCGTCGGCCTCGATGACGCGCATGTCATGGCCGTCAATCCAGAAGAACGTCGTGGCGAAGATGCCGGTGCTGCGCGTCGTGAAATGTGAGCACAACCCCGCGCAAGGCGAAGAACGAGAGAACGTACTTGAGGACACGAATGCGATACGTCTTGCCAGCCTCGAAGGGGATTGACAGGTTGCCGTTGAACTTGACGTCGTCGTTCGAGGGCAAATAGGTACCGTTCGACGCCGCGTAGATGAGGAGTGCGTCTGCGGAAAGTCGGAGGTCAGGTTGAGGTTTGGGAAAGCGAGAGCTGGAGCGAAGCCCACCGGGAACAGGCTCGGCACCAGTTGGGTTGTACTTGTTCATAAACTGCGTGCGTAGCCAAACGGAAGATGAGCCAATTCGCTCGAGGAGCGGCAACGCGAAGAGGCTCACCTTGTGGTTGAGCTTGTCAGACCGAGCGTGGTACCAGTCAGACAGGATGATGGTGTATTCTCCGTCGTACTTGTGCGCCTCGTCGGTCGCATGAATGATGAAGGGCGCTCGCAAGCCGTCTTGGTCTATCTCGCAGCGACTGGGCGTCAGCACCGAGAAGCGAGCAAGGGAGAGAGCCGGGACGTACAGTGTGCGCCAGTGTGAGAGTGCCACCTGTACGATGGGATCGTCAATAACGCGAAGAAGACGGGAGGAAAGGGCGATGTCTGGCAAAGACGGCGTCTGCTCACCAGTAGGTTCCGTGCTGCCGGTCTACAGGGACTTCGTACGTGAGAGACTGGCCTGTGGTGAGCACAGAGTGATCACGAGAAGGAGGGAGCGGCGAGGAGAGCAAGAGCAGATGTCAGTAACGGTCAACGAGATCGAGGACCAAGACGTCGACGAACCTGGCGGGATCCCGCACTGCGTGACGCCGGGTGCGCCGTCATAGTAGTTGGTACCGTTGAAGAAGATACCCTGCGAGCGAGAGTGTGAGCGAAAACTTCCCTCAGCGAAGCGAGGAGAAGAGCAAGGGCGGACATGGTGGTGGATCGAGGTTGGCGCGTCCAGTCCGTTGTAAGCGTGCACTCGTACGGTGTCGTTGAACTTGACGTTGAGGATGGGCGGGCTGCAGGGGGCGCACATTTGCGAGATCAGATATCGGCGACACGACTGCCGGAACGGGGCGGGAGAGGGCGCGCACGGCCAAGTCCCGTTGACGCCGACCGTGAAGGGCTTGTCGACCCCGTCTGGCGCCGCCGTTGTGTACGAGATGTTGTACCTGTCGCATGTGCGTATCGAGCGGGTCAGTCGGCGGGATCAGGCGAGCGCGCGAGGTGCCCGAAGCGAGGGCAAGAGAGCGGGCACGCACCAGGCATCGACGACGTCTGCGAGCGCTGGGACGGCGAGAGACGCTGCTGCCAGGGCACTGAATGCGATCCGCATCGTTGTCAGAGCCTCGCGCGGGTGTCAGAGGACGAGGGAGCGATGGGAAGGAGGGCAAGGAGGGCGCGCGATCGCCCGCGCTGATTATCTGACAGAATTTTCGCACCCTCTCCCCGAATCGACCCGCGCTCTTGCTTAACACAATCTTGCAGTAATCGCACACTACAATGCGCGTCAAAGGTATCAAGCGACTCCGCCCATCCCGGGTATACTCGGCGCCCTCCCTCTCCTTGGCTCAGTCTTGGGCTCAGTACGTCTTCGCGAGTACCTCCCTCGTCCACTCGCTCCCCTCGAACCGGCTCTTGTACTCCTCGAAGCACCTGACGAGCTCCTTCAGCTCGACGTCCTCGCGCGTCTCGCCAGTCCGAGCCTCGTCGGCGACCGCGGCGGGCAACTCGGCCGTCCGCGACGCCCACGTCTCGAGGAACGCCTCGACGAGCGCAGTACCCTCGGCGATAGCTTCAGGCGACAGGTGAGCGATGGCGGGCTCAGCAGCATCGGCGGATACGGCTGCGACGGGCAGCGGGTCAGCGAACCTGCGTTGGACGTGAGCGGTCTGAAAAAAACGCACGCTTCTCCGTGAAGTCCTCGAGGTCGTCCGCCTTGCGCTTGGCGAGCTGTGTAAGACGAGCGTCAGGCCGCGGATTGCGAGAAGCGAAGAGAACCGAACGCACCTTGACCACCTCGTCTGGAAAGTTGGCCAACTGCGCCACATGGATACCGAAGCTCTGGTCGCAGATGCCCGGCATGACCTTGTACAGCAGCGTGATGTCCTTGCCCGTGAGCGTGTCCGGGTTCGACTCGACGTGCGCAACGACATGCAAGTTCTTCACGTGCGGAACTTGGTTCGCGAGGGCGGTCAGCTCGTGGAAGTGGGTGGCGAAAAGGACGGAGGCGCGGGTGACGGTCGAGAGGTGTCTGCACGGGGGCACGTAAGCGATGCAGCGTGACGACGAGAGAGTGAGCAGATTGACGCACTCGGAGATGGCCCACGCGAGTCCGAACCCGTCGTACGTCGACGTCCCGCGCCCAAGCTCGTCAATGATGACCAAACTATCCCTCGTCGCCTGCCTCAGGATCGCGCTCGTCTCGAGCATCTCCGCCATGAAAGTCGACACGCCCTTGAGCTGCGAGTCGCCCGCTCCGACACGGCACAGGATCGAGTCGAAGATGGGGACTTCGGCGAAGGAGCAGGGGACAAATGAGCCGATTTGCGCGAGGAGAGCGACGACAGCGGTTTGGCGGATGAAGACGGATTTGCCGCCTGCGTTCGGACCAGTGATGATGGAGAACTCGCTGACGTCTGTGTGGCCCGCGGCGTCAGATAGAGCGAATCGCACGGGTGAAGAGTTGGCTCACCCCGCTCGAGGTGGCAGTCGTTGGCGATGAAGTCGATTCCCTCCTGAACTTCGAGACAAGGGTGTCGCGCCTCCTCGAGCTTGAGACTGCCACCGCCGCGCTCAAAGATAGTCGGCTTGATGTAGGGGATTGGTGCGTTGAGCGAGGACGTGGCGATGCTGCGAAATTCAGGCAAGTGAGCGGCAGAAGGAGAAGTCGCTTCCAGGGGGAGACTCGCCTGGTAATCACGTCGATGTGCGCGATGACCGTGTTGAGCGTCTCAAGCACCTCGCAGTACGACGCTGTAGATGTCAAAGCCGCCGTCAGAGCGAGTGAGTGGGAGGGGAATACGCGTTACTCACAGGCAATCTGGATGACCTCCTTGACGAGCTGGCTCTGCTTCTTCTCGTACTCCTTCGTGCAGTCACGGTACTCGTCGTTGAGCTGCTTGAGCGCCTTGGTCGTGAAGTACATGCCGTTCGTTTGGTTCTTGAGCTCGATGTAGTTCTTCTTGTTCCGAATCACCGCAGATTCCTGCACGCCGGGACGGGTCAGCGCTTCGAGTGCGATCGGAGAGACCTCTGAGTGACGTACCTTCCTCGTCAAGCGGAAGCAGTACCCGTACAAGGGCGTCTGCTCAAAGTGCAACACCTTGCCATCCGGTTCCATGCCGAGATCTCGCGCGACCTCCTCGTGCTCCTCATTCAGGCCGTCGCGGACAGCCTCGAGCTTCTCGCGGATGACGGCGAGCGATTCGTCAAAGTCGGGCTTGATGACGAAGTTGTGACGATCGAGTTCAGAGAGGTCGATGGTCGTCTCCACCATTTCTTGATAGGGCAACAGCGAGTCGTTGTGCGTCTGCAAGCGGAATCGTTAGGGGCGGGGCGGTGAGCCAGGAACGTGCAGTCGGCCGCGCACCCGCAAGTGCTGCAGCCACAGCTCGTCGATCAGGCCCTTCCACCGCTTCTCCCTCGACTCTTCCTTCTCGGCACCATTCTCGCCCTCCTCTCCATCCTGCATCTGCGCATCGCCGTCCTCATCCTCGACTTCGACGCCGCGCTCGAGAACGGTAATGAGGCCGGGCAAGAGGAGGACGGCTTGGTAGACTCGCACGACGTCCTCGAGCGATGCGGCACCCTTCTGGAAGCGCTTCGAGATGCGGTGGAAGTCGGGCATCGACTTGAGGAAGTCGTCCTGCGGGGAAGCTCGAACGAAATTGCGGCGGGAGAGGCGGGACGAGCGAAGTAATCAGCATGTGCCGCATCAGCGCATGGATAGCGACAGCACACGCACCGTGATCGCCTGCCGAAACTCCTGCGACTCGACCAAGCACTCGACGAGGTCTTGCCGTTGCACTACGGGAGGAAGCCTGCGTCAGTCGTGCGCGGCTCCAGGGGGAGGCGACAACTCACGAATGACATGACGGTTGACGAGCGGCTGCTTGAGCCACATCGCGAGGAGGCGAGTGCCCTGCGCCGTCTTGCAGCGGTTGAGCAGGCCGAAAACGGACATGGTCTTCGAGGAGTTGCCGATCCCAGTCGGGTCGGGCATGACTGCGAGGTGCAAGACTTTGTCAGACGGTGCAATCGAGCAGCGTATCCTGCGACCGCGAAGGGACACGGGCGGCGTGCCGGCATATCACCGGCTGAAGATGCGCAACTCACGGTTCAAAGCCCTCAAGGCGCTCGCGTCGAGGCGCATGTACATGCTGAGGTCGTGCGTCTTGAGAGCGTAGGCGCCGAAGTTGGACGAGTCCTGCATCAAGGCCAGGTACGAAATGAGCGCAGCAACGGCTGACATGGCGACCTTGTGGTCGAATTCGGCTGCGAACACGCGTTGTCGCGGTCGGCGATATCGTCAGCTACTCTTCTTTGACGGTCAGCGAAGCGGGCCAGTGAAGGACTCACGACGACTGGCAGCTTGCAGCGATCCGCGGAGAAGGCGATTCAAGTCTTGCTCGACCGACCCGCTTGTGAACTCGCCTACAGTAATGCAGAGAGTCAGCGAATGTGCGCGCATCGCTCTGCGACGATGCGCGTCTGTCCTGCCACGTAGCGGCGGGCAGAGAGTGAGGCATGTTCCGCCCGGCTTACTCTTCTTGCGCTCGGTGATGACGACCCCGCACCGCTCAATCAACGTCTTCAGCTTGTTGAGGTCGTACTCGTGCGCCTTGTCTTGCTCGACGACGAGGCACTCCTTCGCGCCAAGCTGGATGAGGAGGGCCTGCGGAGCGTGACGGGGTCAGCTTAAGGTTAGCAGGCAGAGTTGCCGAAGCTGCATACCTCGGTGTTGGAGAACAGCTCGTTGTCGACGTACTCGCTGACGCCGAGCTCCTGCATGCTCGTGTCTGCGAAGGCGACCCCGATCGTCTTGACATTGTCCTTGACCTGGAGACGAATGGCGACGAGGACGGGCGAGGCGAGGAGGTCGGTGTAGGTGAAGAGCAGATCCTCGACAGGTCCGAGGTTGCCAGGCGACGCGGCCTTGGCGAGTTTCCACTTTGTCGAGCCGCGACCGACTCCTCCGCTTTCTGGTTCCCAGATCTCGACGCGAAGCTGCTTGGTGGTTAGGGCGTCTCGCAGGAATGCTTGTGCGACGGCGTGCGAGAGAGTGACCGAGGGGAGACCGTCTTCATCCGAGCCGAGGTACTTGAGGACCGTTTGCGTCTTGTAATGGTGATTGGCGACGAAGAAGGCGTCCTCGCCGTACGCGCAGTAGAACTCGGACCGGTCAAACAGCCTGATTGTCCCTGCTGGTCGCTGTGAGGCGTCCGGCGAGCCCGTCAGCAACCTGTACGGACCTGCGCGCGTCGCCACACGAGCGAGGAAAGGTGAAGTCGAGGAGTGCGGGACGTACAGCCGGCAGTTTGGCAAACGCCTTGACGAAACGGTCCTCCTCAGCCTTGTCCTTCTGCTCCTGCTCCTTGTCCTTCTTCTCCTTCGAGTACTGAAGCGCCGGCATCGAGTTCCTCCTTCGTGAAGCGATGAAGTGGGGCGGGCGAGAAAGACGGTCAAGGCGGTCAAGGCGAGCGCGTCCAGGCGATCGGAGGACCTGTCTAGCCGTACACGAAGCTGCACGAGCGCGTTTCGACCCAGCAAGTGGTGTCGAGAGGACGGTCGAGAGGCAACTTGCACCTCAACTCTCCTTCGTCTTACTCGGACCTACTCTACTCGTTGCTTTGCCGGTTTGGACAGGTCAAGGATGGCTTCGGACGGGCGGTGCGCTTTCCGCAATGATAACTTCTCCCCGGAGGACGATGCCGTCTGAGCCGGCTTCGACTGGCGCAAAGAAGCTGTCCTTTGAGGATGTCCTGAGGAGTCGCTTAGAGGCGTTCTATGCGGCGGGATGGCGAGACCGTCGAGCGCGCTTACAGGAGCAGTGAAAGAGATGGCAGCTGCGTTATACGAGGGAAGGAGAACGTCTCGCTGCGAATCAGGAAACGGCTGAGAGAGCACGAAGGACTACACGATTGTACTGAACAGCAGCGTGAGAAAGAGAGAAATGTACAACCTACACTGAGAGGAATGGACCAAACTGGCAAGGATGGCGAAGAGTGAATGCGTCCTTCTTGTCCCTCGTTGCCCAGCACCCTTTCCGGCCCGCGCCAGTTGCCGCATCGTCTCAAGTACGCCCTTTCCTGACCGACGACTTCTTCAGGAACGCCAACGCCGTCTCCCAATCCGACTTCTTGCCGCGCTTCTTGGCCGGCATCGCCCACTGGTGCGCGGCTGCAGCGGTTGCTTCGACGATCGACGGGTCCTGCAGAACCTTGCTGTGCGGCCGGAACAATCGCACAAAGATGGCGACACAGAGGATAAGCTCCTCCTTGAAGGCGTCGGGGAGGGAGCGGTCCGGCGTGAGGATTACCTTGAGTGCGGTAGAGACGGCACAAAGATACGGGTTGGGGAGGCGGTGGCGCAACTCGTCGGGAAGGACACGGTCGACAAGTTGGGGAGGGAGCTTCTTGCCTCCAGGGCGGAGGCGGTAAGTGCCGTCCTTTTGTGCGTGGAAGGTCTCCGAGGAACCGTCGGGGGCGTCGACGATGAGGGGCGGAGCAGCGTGAGCCTCTCGGCCAGTTTGACGATCTCGAGGCGTAGCGGCACGCACTGAGCGCGGAAGTCCTTGTCTTCCAGCCATCGTCGCTGTCAAGCGAAGGTCAGGGCGAAGTGTCGGAGCCGCAGGGGGACTGCAACGCACCCAAGGCTCTTTGCCGCCGTTCTCGTAGTCAATCAAGACCTGCTCCATATGCTTGAGTGTCGAAAGTTGCGGCATAAGCGAGATCAAGTGCGCGTTGAAACTGATGTGGGTTTCGAGGTGGACTGTCCGGTTGACGACGTTGTCAGGACCTTGTGATGTGAAGCAGAGGAGGAACGCACGAGGGATGAGGTTGCTTGCGTGGTTCAGATGCCAGGAGAGCGGGACGGCGGCGGAGATCAGGAAGAGTCGACTCTGCAAGGTACGAGTCCAGCCGCCGCGTCAGCGCACGTAGACGCAGAGATTGCAGTGAGTTACGCACCCGCAAAGCGAAAACGAGCGGACCGTTCGACGGGCGCTTCGGGATCACATGGGTGAGCTGGACCATGTAGTCGAGATCGCCGCGTGAGATGAAGCGCGAGGCTTCGTCCTTGGCTGCCACTGCCTGGTCTTCAGGAATCTCTTTGACATAGATGCACTGGTTGAGGCGAGGACAGAGGGTGACGTTCTCGACTCCGTCGGAGGACGAGGCGGACGACGAGGAAGCCATCGAACTGGCAATCGAACCGTGATGCCCGCTGGCATCAATGAGTTCGGCTGTCGGAGTCATCAGCGCGGAGTGAAGCCGAAGCGCCTCTTCAGTGAGGGGCAACTTGACGGAAGCGAGAGGGGCGGTGGTGTCGGCGAGAAGATCGGGAAGCTCCTGCACAAGGCACGAAGGCAAATGTCAGCGCTTGATGCTTGCTGCCGGAGGAAAGTTGGCGTACAGACCCGTCAGCGAGGCGGCAAACGAAGCCTTTGTAGGCCTACGGGAGTAGAGACATCAGCTTCGAGTATGCCGAGGCTGAGAAAGCCAGAAAACTTACCATCGTGTCGGTTTTGGTGTCGGCGACCCGGGTGAGCTGCGGGGTCGGCTCCCGCTCCGTCTCGCTGCGCCACAGCGGAAGAAGCTTGTTGACGATGAACGATGTGGAAGGGTCGTCTCGGCCGTCGCGGTGCCTCTCCTTCCAGTCCGCGATGAACTGCGGGCGGAAATCGTGTCAGTATCAGTTGAACTGGGAACAAGCCCAAGCCGGGACGCACGAACTTGATGGCGGCGTCGAAGTTCTTCTCGTTAACCGCACATCCCGCCCAGTCTTCCGAGCAGAGTAGCAACGCGCGCGCCCAGTTCCGCTCCTCGGTCGACCGTCGACTGTCCTTCGTAGGAAGCGCGTATGGTTTGGACGGGGTCGAACCGGGATTCTTCTGAGAGGAGGAAGGATTGGCGGCGGCGCGTACGCGGGCGAGCTGGTCGTGAGTCTGCGGTCGCAAGCTGTACTGCGGCCGCTCGAAAGGGTTGTCGTCTAGCAGTGCCCTCGTCTCGGCCGTCACAGAATCTGCCGTCGCTTCCGACCACAGCACGTCTTCCCGGACAGTCTCGTCACCTTCTGCGCGTGAGACCCCATGAGCAGAGAGGTCAGGCAGAGACCGAAGGACAAGAGACATACTCGCTGCCGTCGACATGCTTCGGGCGAGGAAGGCGCGTCGTGTTGATCGAAAGGAGCATGGAAGGGGGAGACGAGAACGGCGCTCGTAGAGGCTGACTCGGCTGCGTGGGTTCAGATCGGAGCTCTAATCGCAGGCTGGCAGCTAGGGACAGGTTCGAGCGAGTGACAACAGCGCAAGAGGCGATTTGTGGTCACCGCTTCACCTCTCTCCAGCTTCACTCACACTCTGGGTAGGCAGCTCCTGTCTATCCGTCAAACCACAATGCCCTCGGATTTGCGCTCGACTGACACCGCGACGCGCTCGCCCGCCCCCGAGCGACCCTCTCCTCCTGCGTCCTCGACCAGCCGACCACTTCTCCGTACCTTCCTCGTGTGCTTCTTCGCTGCGTTGTACGCACTGGCTGCGATTCGATGGAGTCTGCCGCCGCACAGCTGGGTGGAAAAGTGGATCGCAAGGCGGGTTTCGCAGGACCGGGCCGCATGGACTCGACCTGGACTGAGAACGGTCGAAAGGTGAGCCTGCTTCTTTCGCTTACATATATGCCTTGCGATGAGCGAACGCAGACGGCCGGCCAGGTTTGGGCGCGAGGCTCACCAGAGTCCTGTCCCTCCAGGTACTCTCCGCAACACAAGTACCGGCCCGCCGCTGCGCCTGTCATTACGTCAGTCGGCAAGGACGGCAAGGTGTACCGCAAGGGAGAGTACTACTGAGCGGGACCTGAAGCGAGGGTGCGCCGACTTAGCTTGCCAACGGAACGACCGAGCCTGACGATTTTACCCAGCAGCTTCAGCCCTCCAGATCTCCAGTCTCGAGATTCACGCTGTCAGTGCAAGGCAAAGCATCGCATGCGCCGCGTTATGACCCTCACGACCACGAGGCCGCACCTGGACAACCCACACGACTCGCGATTTGGCAAGAGGCACATCAAACGGACGACTGGAAGCGCAGTTCGGGGCGGAAAGAGCAGCGACGGCATGGAGGAGACATTTATGGTAGGGCATAGTGGTCGGTAAAGCGTGGAACGAGAGCAGGTCACGCTCTCAGGCGTCTGCCGCCTGCGCGAGCAAAGAATCGGTTTGCTGCTTCCACTCAAGGGTTCCGAGGTCCCGTACAGCTCGTGGATGGAAATCAAGTGCTCATGATGTGTGCATGGCAGTTAGCTACGCCGCCCCAAGCAGGATCTTCCTCCACCCATCCTCGTTCGCCCGCCTGTTCGCCTCGCGCTCCTCCGCTCCGAACCGCCTCGTCTTCGGCTTCTTCGCCTCATGCTGTGCTGTAACCGCCTGAGGTGCAGATGTAGGCGGGACTGCAAAGTCGCGTCCTTCGGGAACGCTGTACGACAGGCGGAAGACGCCTTCGCCTTGATCTGCTTCAGGCTTGATGCTGGAGATCCACCTTGCAATGGTAGGCTTGACGTTCCGCTGGTTCGCAAGCTCAGCCGCTTCAGCTGCACCTGCTGTTGCGACTGCCGCAACAGCCTCCTCATCGCCCGACTCGACGCCATCAGCCGTGACCGACTTGTTAAGTTTCGAGCGGGACCGGCCACCGCCTCGCCCGCCTCCGCGCTTGCCGCGCCCTGAAGAGCTCGACGTGCGACCGACCTGCTTGTTGAGCAGGCGGTTGATCGTCTCGGTTTTCTGCGGATTGAGGGAAGACAGTCAGCGATCCCATAATCCCATCTGGCGTGATCAAACGCGACTCACCTCATCCTCGAGCTTCTTGTCGGCTTGTGACTTGCGGCGACGAGACTTTTCGGCGCGCGCAAGGGCGATCTCGGCTTCGGTACGAACAGGCGGCGGCGCCTTGCTGACGACTGCGCGACATTTCAAAGCAGTCAGCGGACCGCCGAGATTGACGGAACACTAGAGAGGCGATCACTGACCGTTCGGCAAGCTCATTAGCTCGAGCGCCTCGTCCCCTCCCATCTCCTTCGCCCTCTGCCTCGCTGTCTTCCTCCCGCCATACGGATCTCCTGCGGTACTCGTGCTCCCACTCCGCTCTGAGCCAGAGTCAGAGAAGCCGTCGTCGAAAACTTCGCCGCCGTCCGAAGCGAGCTCGTCGAATTCACCGGCGTTAGAGTCGGAGCCTGAGAGCGCGGAGGTTGAGAATCGCGAGGAGGGGAGGTCGTCGTCGTCTGAGAGTTCGAGAGAGGCGTCGGATTCGTCGGATTCTGCGAGCGATGACAGTACTCCACGATCAGCAAGAACGATACGCGCACGACCTGATCCGCCGAACGAGTTCTGTCACTCACCAGCCTTCTTCTTCCCTTTCCCCTTGCCCTTTCCCTTTCCCTTCGCTGCAGCACTGCCACCCGTAGCCTTGCCTCGCGCTCCGCCAGCAACAGAGCTCGCCGGAGAGCTGGCCTCGACAGGCGTCGCCGCGCTGCTTCCTGCCTGAGCCGATTCCGCCCCTCCGCCAGCTCCCAGTTTGAACTTGATCTTCATGCCAGAGAGCGCGCCGCCCGCCGCTGCCGGTCCGGGTGTCGGAGCGGGTGTTGCCGTCGCCGAAGTCGAGGGAGAGGCGTTCGCGGCAGATGAGCGCCGTCGTCCCGCAGAAGCTGCCGCGCCACCTTTAGGTGCAGACGGTTTCGGTGGCCTCCTCGTCGCGGCGGCTGCAGCGCGGGCGGACGAGCGCGAGCCTTTGGCGGGAGTTGCAGTCCCTGAACCCGACGGTGACCAATCCTCCTCGTCGTCCTCGAGCTCGTCTTCCTCCTCCTCTTCGTCCTCGTACGCATCTCCCTCCTCGTCAACGTCCATCGTGTCCTCGTCGTCCTCGTCGTCATCAGCGTAGCTCCGCTTCTTTCCCCTGCTCGCGCGCGCCCCGCCAGCTCCTGTCGCCGGTCCGCCCTGCTGAGGCGGCTTGATCCTGATGCTCGTAGCACCCGCACCTGCGCGCGCGGTCGACGACGAGGCTACGGGAGCGTGAGCGATGGAGGTGGTGGGGGTGCCCGAGTCGGAGCCAGAGTCGAGCTGGTCTTGCTCGTCTTCGGACGGAGTGGGTGAGCGAATCCTTGGGGGCATTCTCAGCGTGTGCACGAGTCCGGCAGAGCGAGAGAGCGGTGAAGCGGAATGAGGACGAGCGAGAGAGCGAACGAGGCGACGTCGCGAGTCGCTGCAAGGGCGGGCCTGTTTGTCAGGACCTTGCATTCTCTGTAAAGTCTTCCTCAGAGAGTAAACGACCGTACAAACCGCTGCAAGAGGCGCGAGACACCCTTGGCCTTTCTTCTGCTCGCGACGACACACGCTCCTCTCGCTCGCTCACCACACGCTCATTCTCGCGCTTGGATAGGCTAGACACGGCTGGACAGCTTGCTCAGTACCGGAGACGCTAGTCGGAATCGCCAGCGCGGCGGATGCCCAAGCCTCCTCTCCGCCGTCTCGACACAACTCGTCTGGACGCAGATCCCTCTTCGCACGCATCGAGGTCGACGCAGACAAGCCAGAACAGCGAACCAGGACGCATCGAGGGTATGGCAGGAACGAGCGGGACCGGGGAGGACGTGTGCGACTCTCCCGTGTCCATCGACGCTCAGGGCGACTCCTTCGTCTACCCCTCCGCGACCGAGTTGCGGCGAGGCGGCTCACTCAAGTCGCGCAAGGAGACGATGGGGAACGGCACCGGCGGTCCAGGGTCGAATTCAGGCTCTGGTCCGGCTTCAGTCTCCTCGACAGGCCCGTCAAGTTCTCCGATAATGGCACAGGCCTCTCTCGTGCGACGGCAAGGCTCGTCAAGCCCCGTATCAAGCATCAGCGGCGCGCACGGATTCATTGGAGGCGGATTTGCGGGCAGCGCGGGATCGAAGGGACGAAGAGGGAGTCTGAGCGTCGCTACTGGGCAGGGGCGACGGTGGTGGAACAGCCGAGCACGATGCGTCAGGCTCGCCATCGTTCTCGTTGGTGCTGTCGCGGTGTGGTGGATCTTCCTGCGGCGGCGGCAGGGTTGGGTGGAGGAGAGACGGAAGCTCGACTATCGCTGGTGGGAGGTCGACGAGCTGCCAGAAGGTGCGTCGCGCTTTCCACAGCTTGAAGAGAGGTATGCTGATCAATTACTTGACGCAGAGGACCTGTCGGCGCTCCTTCCTCGACCAACTCTGCCTCCTCGCCCTCCGCGACCGAAACCGCCTCCCGCCAACTCGCACACGCTCACTCAGCTTCTCAAGCTTCCCACGACGTCGTCCACTACGTCGAGCTGGACTGCCGTCATCCACCTCACGTCGTCTTCACAGACTGCATCGACCTACCTTTCGCCTCTCCTCGCTTCCCTAAACCGACAATCGTCCTCGCCGCCATCCCAGATCCTCATTCTGGTCGCACAGGGCATGGAGCCCGCTGCATCTGCCACCTCTCCTTACCGGAATATTCTCTCGACCGTGACCTATATCTCGCCGCAACCTCCCATCCTCGCACTCGCACAAGCGGCTCAGTCGACTATCGATTCTGACTATCTCCTATTTATCGACGCGCATCTGCCTATCCAGGGTCGGACAGACCCTCTCCCGAAAGACTACGTTAGGACCCTCTTGCATGCGAGCGGGACGAAGGAGTACGGCTCGTCGCTCCTCACCGCCGGCGGAATCGCCATCGCCTCGTACCCCTCATCCGACACTCGTTGCGTCTACCCTGCATCGCACACCGAACGCATCACCGTTGCCTCCCTCCCGTTCCTCCTGCCGACCTCTTGGCTTCTCCCGCGCGACCCTACTCGTCCCGACGCGACCTCCATCCTGCAAGGCCTCTCCACCTCTCTTCCGATCGAAGTCGCCCTTTCTGCCGCGCTATGGACAAAGCATGCCATCCCGACCTACGCCATCCCCTTCCCATCGTACGCCAGCAGCGATACTGTCTCCTGCGACCGGCTGAGACGAAACCTCGATGCCTTCCCGGCTCAGAAACAGCTCTTTGCGGCGCACTACGGCGCCGGCGAGGGTTTGAGACGGATCCAGGCGAGCGGAGACCGCAAGAAGGGCGGTTTCAGGAGTGGGACGGAGAAGACGTTGCTTGAGCGGGCGGAGGACGAGAGGAGCAGGTTGTTGCAGACTGGCACGGCGGTGTTGCTGCTGAGCGGAGAGGAGGAGCTGGAGGCGGCCAGGAAGATGGCGTGTCGGTTTGCGACGCGGGCGGGAGATGCGAGACTTGCGGCGGCGGCGGCAAGCGACCTCGACGACGAAGAAGAGGCGCCACGTCCGCCCATCCAAGACTTCAAGATCGTCATCGCCGACTACGACACCTCGACCTTCTCTCCGTCCGCCTCGTCGAACTCTGACTCGCCCGCTTGTCACCTCGACCTTACTCCCCTCGGTCCGGCACCCTCTTCCACGTCTGCCTCTTCCTCCGAACCAATCTCGCTCGCCCTCCTCGACATCCTAGACTCGCTTTCGCCCCCTCCAGGCTTCATCCTCTACATGTCTGACGGACCTCGAGCGCGCGAGTTCGAGGAAGTCCTGCGCTGGATGGGCGGGAGGTTCGGATCGCGTAAGGGCGGCGAGCGGCTGGGACGGGCAAGGGCGGAGAGGGAGATGCTCAAGGGCCTCGTCGGCAGCGAGGAAGGTCCAACAGCGGGAAGAGGACGACCGACTGTCGTCGGCATGTCGAAGGAGGAGGCGAAGCGAGCGGAGTGGATTGGCGCGCTGGATCTCGAGGCGTTGAGACGTAAGCTTCGCGAGCACTTCTTTTGTGCGCAAGGCTGACGGTTGTGCTCCTGCAGACTTCCACACGCCTCGAATCGACCTGAGCGTCGTCACGAACGACCGGCCCGTCTCGCTTCACCGCCTTCTGGGGTCTCTCCAGGACGCCTACTACTTCGGCGACGATGTCTCCCTCACTGTCAATCTCGAGCAGACGGCCGACCGCCTCACCCACCGCCTCGTCGACGACATGCGGTGGCCGTTCGGGACCTTCTCGCTCCGCCACCGCATCCTCCTCGGCGGCTTGATGCCTGCCATCGTCGAGTCGTGGTACCCGACGTCGAACGACACCTACGGCGTCCTACTCGAAGACGACGTCGAGGTCTCGCCGCTCTTCTACGGTTGGCTCAAGTTCGCCATTTTGCAGTACCGCTACACCCTCGCCGGTCGTCGTGCCTCGGGGCGCCTCTTCGGCATCTCGCTCTATCAGCAGAAGAATATTGAGCTTCGTCCCGAAGGACGGCAGCCTTTCGACGCGCACAAACTCTTCGCCGACCTCTCCCTCCACTCGACGACGCCCTATCTCTCGCAAATTCCGTGCTCGTGGGGAGCAGCGTACTTCCCCGAGCACTGGCGCGAGTTCCACACCTACCTCTCGCTCCGTCTATCCGAACTCGCCCTGCCCATCTCCGAACCTCTCGTGCCCGCCATCCGGTCGAACAAGTGGCCTCGCAGCTGGAAGAAATACTTCATCGAGCTCGTCTACCTTCGCGGCTACTCGATGCTGTACCCCAACTATCCCGACTTCGAGTCGCTCTCGACCAATCATCTCGAAAAGGGCACGCATGTCCACACGTCCCGCGTCGACGAGACGAAGAAGGCGACGTTCGAGGTTCCCCTCCTCGACCGCGACGCCTCGCTTGTCGACACTCTTCCAGGCGGACCCGGTCACGAGCGGCTACCAGACTGGGACGCTCTGCCCGTTATGGACTTGTGGGGTTCGCTCGCAAGCGCGGACGAGCTCCTCGAGCGTGGCTGGCAGACCACTCGCATGACCGGCTCGTGCCCTGCCGACCGACTACCCGACCTGTCAAAGGGCGGCTCGAAGCCGCGATACGACGCGCGCGAGCTGCTTTGTCCGAGGATGTGGGACCGTGAGACGCAGGGACGGCTTGTCGATGCGCAGCCACTCGCAAGTCGGGCCGAAGTCGACATCGACCGAGGACGCGTTGTCGCGGCGGCAGCAGGCGACTACGCTGCTGACGGCGCGGCTCGTGTCAGGCGGGCGGAGCTGACGGAGAGCGGTGAAGAGAAGGCCTCTTTCGAAGAGGCGACCCGCCCGGACCGCCTCGCCCGTGGACATCTCGACCGTGACCACGAGCATGATGCGATACGGGAAGGGGAAGCGGACGACGCGGACGCAGGCTTGCGAGGCGCGCTTTTCGACGAGGTTGAAGACGAGGGGAGTCGGCGGGCGAAGCGACGGAAGGCTATCGATTTTGAGGCGCGGGCGGCGCACCAGGCGGAAGTAGAATTGGGTCTCGATGAGTCGCAGCATGAGGAGGAGGCGGAGAAGAAGAAGCGATGAAAGCAACTGTATTGGCCTTCGTTCACCTCGCAAACACTGCATTGTCCCTCTTTCGCACCTCCTTCGCGACGGCTTTCGTCGCCTGCATGCTCTGCCTGACGCGCCTGATGCGGGAGAATACTGCGAGTTCCAGCGAGAGTATTGGAAAAGGAGTGTGCGAGGATTACGGAGGCGATCAAACGTTCGAGTAGGGGTGGTCAATGGTCGGCTGTGTGCGTAAACTGTCAGCCCACTACGACGAGGGACGTCGACCAAGACGGGGATGAACGAACCGCAGGCAAAGTCTGGTCAGACGTTGCGCGAGCGAAGGGCTGGCGGCTGCACAAAGGGACTGTGAGCGACATATTCGAGCGAGGCCCTTTCGGACGCACCTGCGACTGCCGTGCTCGAGCTCGTCGTCGAACGAGATGGGCTCTTTCTCGGCAAAGCTGCTCGCCCGACTGACTGTGCCGTCGCCGTCCTTTCCGTTCTCGAGGCTCGCGCCTTGCCGAAGGACCGAAATGGGATACACCACGCCTCCTTCGCCTTCGACGATGCCGCCGTGATTGAACGAGCTGTTCGGACCAGGCGAGCGGAGCGTCTTGCCGAGAGCGTCGAAGCTTGCGCCTGCTGCTCGCCCGTAGATGCCATCGGGCTGGCTGCCGCTGCCGACGTAGACGCCGTTATACATGATTGGCGCCTTCTTCGTCGGTCGTGCGCCGATGGAATAGAACGTTCCCGCGTCGACGCCGAGCATGTCGGCGAGGAGGGTTCGGGCGTTGAGGGCGATGAGGAGGGACAAGGCGAGGAGCTTGGCGAGACAGAGCTGAGCGATGGCGTGCCAGTTGGCATGCCTGAAGCTGCCGAAGAGGACCGTGGCAATCTGCGAGGAAGAAGGTCAGGGTTGATGCCGAGGACGAAAGGGCGTCCACTTCAAGCGAGACGTACGACGGCGGCCGAGGCAGACAAGCCATTCGTCATGAGGATAATGAGCGCCACCTTGATGACCGTCTGCGAGGCAAAAGACTTACGTTAGCGAATTCGCTCCGCGTGAAACTCGGCCAAGAGACGCCTGCGCACCTTGGACGACCGCTCGAATGGACCAGCCATGCTGTTCGACACCTGGTTAATGTAGTGGAAGTCTGCAGCGGAGCGCGGGTCAGAAGGAAGCGAAGGAGGGCGGGAAGGAAAAAGAGGGAGACGGACAGGCGATGCTAATGACGATGTCAACTACAGCGGCACTTCCAAGCCACACACAAGCGCCCCAGAGCCACCCAGCGAAGCGGACGAACTCGCGGTCGTACTCGACGATCTTGCTCGTGACGGCTGAAGCGAACCCGAACTGGAACATACTGAGTGCCGTCACGACAAGTGCGATGATCCGGCCTCCAGGCTTCGCGTCCGAGACGCCGTAGATCCGCAAGGCGTAGAATACGTGCACGATCAACGCCTGAGTGCCGGTGAGAACGGGTTCGGCTGTGAACGACCATGGCGAAAGCGCGAGGATGGAAGGGTTGCCGTAGTTCTCGATCGCCCACAACCAAATCGTCTGCACCTCGTTTTCGCGTCAGTATGAAGGTCGGCAGGGATCGAAGTATGCCTGACGCACATTTAGCGAGAAGGCGGTATGTAAAAGGTCGATGAGGAGGACGACAACGACCTGCGAGACCCTCATTAGCATGTCGAAGCGGTGTTCGAATGTCGGACGCACTGTCACGATGTCTGCGCATTGCTACCCTGTCAGCCAGGTTTTAGAAGCAGGTGAGGAGGGGGGACTCACACCACCAGGGCTCTCGCGACTTGCGACAGTTCGAAAAGAAGACGATTGCTACGGCGGAGGAGGGAGCAAGTCAGATGGCGCTCGAAGTCGACAACGCGTGACCCACTTTCGAAGAGCGTGAAGCCTTGCTGTCGTACGAGCAACGTTGGTCAGCTCCTCGTCTCCTCGCCGCGCTTGGCCCAGTCCATCGACCCTGACGCACCAGGAAAAATGCCAGCATCGTCCCAATCACCTGTTGGGCCAGCGCGTCAGCAATCTCGAGTCGAGCGAGCGAGCCGGAAGGTCCGAGCAAGGGAGATGAGGGACACACGAAGGCGCCGAGAGTACTGTCGTACGTTGGCAGTGCCGTGGCCGTGGGCGTGCCGGTCGACATGGTGTCGAGAATGCAGAACGAGCGTAGGCGGCGAGAGGCAGCGGGACGAGCCAAAGCGGTGAGCAATCCCAAGCGACGTCGGCGCTTTCAGCGGCGAACAAGGCGAAGCTGGGGCCCGAAGAACGCTCCTGACTGACCCCGCGTGCGCAAGCGTCGGCGGACCGACCGAAATCGTCGCCTCCTATCTCTCTAGCCCTCCTATTCTCCTCCTTCCTCCTCGCCTCGACGTCTGCTTCGACATGTCGTTCGCCCTCAATACCGCGTCGGAGAGCATCCTCGTGCATCTCTCGAAATTAGGCACGCTCGAGCAAGTTTGGCGGAGAGAAAGAGGCGGGAAAGCCGGCTGCGGGAGGACGAGCGAGAAGCGTGCCGGCCTGGTATACTCGCGCTAGTTGCGTAAGCGCAGCGCTGAGGCGCGGCTGTGTATAGCTGACTGTAAGCAGCGTGGCGAAGAGAGCGAAGCGCACCTCGAAGAGCATCGAGGTGAAGGAACGGTTCCCCGTTCGTCCGCCTTCACATCCTGCGAGCATCCTGACATTCCAGCCACAGCCGCATATCTACCCGTTGAGAGCATTCCGCGCCTTGATCGCTGCCTTCCGTTGCCGCTTGAGCTCCTTCTTCTCTGCTCGCAGGCGAGTCTCGACATCCACCTTCTTGCTCTTGACCGGCGCATCTGGCTGTCCGAGCTGCCACACCCATGACGGGTACTCCGAATCCTCCATTGCGACGGGATCGCTTGCGTCCTTGAGGTAGTTGAGGCCCTTGAGGACAGTTCCTGCTGGGCAGGACGAGCCCGACGATTTGGCGGCTGGGAACGGCGAGAACGGTCAGGCGTGCCCCCTTTCAGCCTGAGATCGGACGTACCTGGGCTGGCCTTCTCCTGTGTGGCCACCTGCGCTGCTGCCGCCCGAAGCGATGAAGATGTGAAGGAGCGGACGGGGACGGCGACGCGGGATCGTGCGGCCTGGACAGTGGCGTGTCGTGCCGTGAATCCGAGTGTTCGGCAGGTGCAGGACATCTCTGGCGGCTTTTGCGAGCGGTGTGCGAGGCGTCGAAGGCGAACCATCTCTTCGCCTCTTCCACATCTGTCGACTTGGCTGCATACCGCTTGGCTGGACTGGGACCGCTCTGACTTGAACGCAGACTGGCTGTCAATTCTTCTTGAGCTGCACCGACCCGCGAACACGCCGCACGCTGTGCTCGAACACCACGACTCGCTACGACGCTCAACTCGACTGAACCCTCACACGCGAAGATGGGCGCACGCTGCTGTCCCGACTAGCTACAGGGAATGTGGAAGGCTAGGGACGGACGTTAGAATGGCTTCCGGGCCTCGCAGCGCTGGGTATGCTTCGACTCGCTCGCCGTTCAGCTACGACTTTGGCAGGGTGATTCTCTCTCTGCTCGGGTGATCCTTCGCATTGCTCTGACTAGGAGGAGCAGGCATGGACGCGAGCAGGGCGTCGATACGAGTGTGAAGTCGTCCCCCGAGGACGAAGAGACCAGTCGTTCCCCTCAGAAGCGGCAAAGGGGGGCTTATAAGCGCTCCGCTCGCCTCTCGAGGCTGCAACCATGCTGCTGGTGGATCTGGCAGTGGTAGGATAGTCCGATAGGCCGTGCGGGACGCAGTCAGGCGGAAGGAGGGGGTTCCTTCGCCGCTCTCTAGTAGTAGTGATCCTCCCGTGACGTCCGATGCATTACACTCATTTCAAAGCAGTCTCTGACTCGCCCGCGTCTGTCAGAAAGCCCGGAGAGATTGACTTTGCCTGGATGCGCTCATCGGAAGTTGCGGACCTCACCTTCGCCTCCTATTCCTCGCTCGCTGCTCCTGTTACGACTCTTGCGCGCCTGCAGTACCGGTTTGGGAGTGTATCTGTGCTGCCTAGGCCGCCCATACCGCCTCTGGCCCTCTTCCTCGCCGACTCGACGCGTCCAGACACGGCCAAACCAGCATCCTTTGAGGACGGCTACGACGCCTCGCAGGACTAGCAGGACGCATCGATCGGCGTCGGCAAGGGACGCGAGTAGCCAGTCCACCCGCACCGGTCCAGCAAACGCTTTGTCGGTTGCTCCCCGGCCAGACCTCGAAACGAGGCCAGGTCAACACGGCAGTCATGGAGACGGCCGGCCTGGAGAAGAAGACGGGGCGGCAAGCAGAGCGAGACTACCGACAACGACGGAGCGACATCCTGCGCCGCCTCGGCCAAAGCGCCTTTCTCAACGGGTCGCAATTCGCTATCCTCTGGGTGAACCCGTCGACCTCGCAGACGGACGTGTTTGCGAGCGAGGCGCTCCAGCCCAAGCTGCAGCAGTGGCTAGGGAACAGGGTGCGGGAAGAGGCGCAGACCCTGTCGCGGAGACTGCAGGATGAGCGGGCGGAGAAGGTCAGGAAGGGTCAGGAGGTCCTTGATGCGCACGCGGTCTTCGATGTGGACGGACGAGTACCGGCGAGCGCCATCAAGGACGAGCTCTTGAGGACGGACGAGGAGGACTTGGCGCCGAAAGTGGTGTCTGTCGAGGCGCAGGAGAAGCCTTCGCCTGCACTTCCGCAACCTCCCAGCCCACCACATGTACCGACGGTTCCCGCCCATCCCAGCGTCCTCGAGACGTCTTACTCCGTCATGTTTGGCGGCGAGGGCAACTTCTCAATCCCGGCACCGCCCGCCTCTCCGGCCAAGCTTCACCAGCAGCTCTCCCCTCGGCCCTCGTCCGCACCTTCGCCATCGAATGCTCCGTCACCCCACACTGCACCTCCCACTCGAGCTCTCCCAGCACATCTCGTCATCGACGACAGCTGGGTACGACATACCTTCACGCCCGCCGAGCTCTCGCTGTGGTACTCGGAGCGGTTCGCCGAGTTGTGGCAGAAGACGGAGAAGCTCGTCTGCAAGGCGTGGATCAAGGTCATCCAGCCTGCGAAGCATACGAAGTTTCAGTACCAGAAGGGCGAGGAGAGTCGACCGGGTTGGTGGCCGCGGGACGTGCGGCACAAGGAGCCGGACCACCTGAGCAAAGCAGGTGCGCTCGATTTCGCCTTAGCTTCTCCAGTGTCACAAACTGATGCACTCGCCCACGCAGAACGGGTCGCCCTCCTCGTCCACCTTCTTCGGACTGCACCAGTCTCGATCGAGGACCTCGAGATGGGCAGCGCATCCGTCAGCGCGCACATCCCGCCCGAGCGTATGGAGATCCTGCGCGAGATCTACCGCATCGCCAAGGAGGAGCGTCGAGCGAAACAAGAGTCGCCAGGTGCGCTGCGCTCGCCGCCCTTTCCTTCAACCTGCTGACTTTGTGCCCGCGCGCAGACGGCATGCTCACTTCGCTCACGGTCGCTCTGCCCGACACTCCTTTCTTCAAAACCCCTCTTGAAGAAGCGACACAGTCGCCAGCGCCAGACGAGCCGAAGCAGCACAACACGCGCAACCGCACTCGACGCTCTCTCGCCAGCCAAAACGACGGCGGCTCGAACCGCCTCGAATCGGTCGAGGAACAACAGACGCCTCGTGGTTCGGCTAGTCCCTCTGCCGCTCCCTCACTGCCTCGCTCGCAATCCGCCATGGACGTCCGAGACCTCGCCTCGACTTCCGCCGCTCCTTACCCCTCCGTCATGGCGACACCTGCCCGCCCGTCATCCGCTGCTCCAGCAACGAACGAGTCGCCCGCCTCAGCACCGCCTCTCGCGCGAAGCCAGTCCTTCGCTGGTCCCGTCACGAGCGCAGGTCGTTCGCGCAATGCGATGCGGCAAAGCGGTCGTGGCTCGGTCGGTGAGGCAGACCTGCTCGCTGGCGGTTCACTCGACAGCCTGAACGCGGGGAATGACGGTCGACTACAGGCGACGCCTTCTGCAGCGCAACGGACGAGCGGGAGAAGGATGGTGACGCCCAGTCGAGCCGGACAAGGTTCGCCTCATGCGCCGGGCGTTGGTGGTTCGACCGGTATGAGCCGCAGCCTTAGTGCGAGTGCGGTCGCAGCCGGGACCGGCGGCGCGAGCGGGTCTGCGACGAAGCGGTCGGCGGCGAAGGCGGCGTCCGGCATTGACGATTCGGTCGCCAGTCCCGCGATGATCAAGAGTCGGAGTCGGTTGTCGCAGCAGCACTTTGAGCAGATGGGCATCGGCTCGTCGCCATCTGCGCAGGATGCGGCGTCGAAGATTCGAGGCGGACAAGGCGAGCGACGGCCGCGCGGAAGCCAGTCTGCGCACGTCGTGCAGCAGCCGCAGTTCGAGCCGATGTACGAGCAGCAACTGCCGCCTGGCTTCCAGCTCCACCAGCATCACCAGCAGCAGCTCGCGCAGGCGCAGGCTCAGGCTGTCGCGCAAGCACAGGCTCAGGCGATCGCACAGGCGCAGCAGCTCCAGCATCCGCCTCAGCAGATCCAGCTCGTTACGGCGCATCCCGTCCAGCGCATCCCGTCACATCCACAGCTCCAGGTCCCGCCCGGCCACGTACTCGTTTACGCGCCGCATCCTCCGCAAGGACTGCCTCAGCCCGTCGCGTTCGGCCGACAACAATCGACTTCGCCTCTTCCCACTCTTCCGCAACCTCCCGCTCACTTCTCCGAGCCACCTCAGCAGCATCAGCACCAACAGCTTCATCCCTCGCAACATCGCTCGCAACATCGCCCACACCATCTCGCTCCTCCTCAGCATTCTTCCCGTGCTTCGTCGCACCACGGCCACGCGCACGGCTCTGCGTCTCCCCATCCCGCCTCAACGCAAGTGCAAGTCCAGGTGCAAGTCCATGCCGGCCCGTCCCCATCCTACGCCCTTCCTCAGCCGCCTCCTCAGCACCTCTCCTCAACGCACAGCCCCTCGCTCTCGCACCACCCTCAACATCCACCGCCCCCGCAACACGATCAATACGTCTCGCGATCGCCTTACCTCTCCGGCAGGAACGGCAGCGAGTCAAACTCGTCGTACCCCACTCCGACAACCGCCTCATACGCCTCACCCGTCTTCCCAGGCGAACCCGGAGCGCGCGGGATGCCCAACCCGTTCGTCCATTCGCCTTCGCTCGGCGGCGAAGGAAGCGCAGGAGGCGATCCGTTCGCCGGGACGACCGGTACAGGCGCGGAAGACTGGTCCGCGTTCTTGCATAGCGATCCGGGGTCTGCGGGGACTCCCTCGTCGATGCAGGGACTGGGACTTGGATCTGTTGATGCTCAGCAGCCGAGGTCGGCGGGTGGAGGGTTGATGTTTGAGGAGGGTTACTACGGGGAGGACAGCGAGGGTGCTTTCGGACTGGGGATGGAGCTGGACCAGCAGGGACAGGGAGGGTATGGGTATGCGGGAGAATTGGCGGACGGGAGGAAGGAGGAGGCGCGGAGGAGGTACGATGAGCAAATGTTTGGGTTGAGCGGGGGAGGGTTGTCGGCTGGTCTTGTTTGAGCGGCGTTTCGTATCGTGTACATAGACACATTTGCTCTCTGAGTGGCATCGTTGTCCTCTATCTATCGTTCTTTGCATCTTCCCTGCCTCCTCTCCCTCGCGTGTTGTATCTTCCCTTCCGCTGTCGCATAGCGACGCTGCAGGCCAGCAACGTCGATCTCCTCGATCTGTCAACACTTCTTCGGCTCGGTATGCGCGCGAGTTGAGTGAGCAACTCCGGCGGCGCGAAGAAGGAACGCGGAGCGACGGAGCGGCGCGATGAGATGGCTCGAGGCAAACGCATGTACTGGCGGTCGCGAGCGCGTGCGGTCCGAGGGTGGTCGCCAGGTCTTGCAAGAGCTGGACTTGGCTTCCTTGCGCTCGTCTGCAGCGAGATGGGCGAGAACCAGGGCAGCGAGCCAGCGAGGTTGACATTCGAGGAGGAAGCGAGCTTAAGTGCGACGACGACGCCTTCGCAGGGGACACTTGCAGTACCTAGAGAGTGTCACAGAGCTATTAGCTGGTCTTATCAAGCCTGTACGACTTCAGCGAACGTGTGGGAGTGGCTGCGAGCGATGTCAACTTCGCGTCGAGGTCACGTGACGCGCCCAACCCTGGCCCCTCTGGCTCTCGCTCGCCTCCTGTCCTCTCGCTCCCGTCGCAACTCGCGCGTGCACCTGCTGCTGCCGCCAGACTCGCCTGTGTACCCTACTCGACACCGCAGACTACCCACCGAGCACGCCCAGCCCCGCGCCAGTCGCCAGCGAAGCCCTCGCCTCGTCTCCCTCGACCCGCAAACAACCGCCTCGCCCGCCTCACTCGCCTCTCGCACGGGCACGTACGCCCACCCAGTGCATCGACAGACTATGGCTGTGCGTACCACTTACCCTCACACCCGCGCACGGGGCGAGAAAAACTGACGGGCCTCGCTCAACACCGTCACGTCCGCGTCCCGCTCTCGCCTCTCCGCAAACACACCCAAACACACTCCCTTCGCGCCCGTCTTCTTGCTCCACGTCACGCTCGGCCTCACTCTGTCACTCCTCTTGTCGACGCATGCAGACTCGCCGCGTCACCCGCCGCTCGCTCACGAACCAGCAGGTCGAAAACGACCTCGCAAACCGGGTTGGAGGAGGGCCTGCGCGCACCGCGTCGGCTGCTCACGCTGCTGGGCCAGTAAAGCAGGGTGTCGCGTTGGCAGTGACGGGCAAGTCGGCCGCGGGAACGTCGGCTGCAGCGGGATCGAGGCGAACAGCTGTCGGGACTTCGAAGGGAGTGTTGGCCGACAAGGTGCGTCTGCGCGCCAGCTCTTGCAGATACAGCGCACCGCTGACACTCCCTCGACGTTGTGCGCAGACTGCCGCTGCTAATGCTGCCGCCGGGACCGCCGCCGCGCGAGGAAAGCGCTCGGCCTTTGGAGACGTGACCAACGGCAAGGGTGCCTCCAAGTCGCAGCTCGCCGTCGCGGGCCCGTCCAAAGCCATCGCTGCGTCGTCCAAGGCTGCTGCGCCTGCTCCTGCGGCTGCGGCAACGTCATCCAACACGGTCAAGCGGACGTATCGGACGCGGTCGTCGACCGGCGGCGTCAAGCAAGAGCCTGCGGACGATGCGGCCGGCCTCGAGTCGGATGCGATGGCCATCGACGAGGACGTCAAGCCCGCCGCGAGGCAGGTCCGCGGTCTGCGCAAGCCGACTGCCGGCGTCAAGGCTTCGACTTCGACCGCCACCACTGCTGCATCTCGCCGCCCTCTCGCCACCAAGCGCGCGAACGTCCCGGCCGCCGGCACGAGTCGAACAGCTGCTGCTGCCGCTGCGAAGGCGAAGACAACCCCTCCCGCTGTCCGCGCCGCGCGGCAAAGACGCGAAGAGGCCGAGGCGAAGCACCGCGCTGCGCTTGCCGAGCTCGAGTCTGCGCGGAGGGTCGAGGAGGCCGAGTTGAAGCGTGCGAGGGAGATCGAGGAGCTCGACTTGGAGGACGGCGGGCGGCGCGCGAAGAGGCAGAAGACGAGCGAGCCTGAGCCGCTGGAGTATGTCGATGAGGACGACGAGGACGAGGACGCGGTCGACTATGAGCAGGCGAGGGTCAGCAAGTGGGAGACTGAGGTGGAGGAGAAGCCCAAGTGGGTCGACTTGGACGCCGGCGACGAGGAAGACCCGCTCATGGTCTCGACGTATGTCGTCGAGATCTACGAGTACCTCCGCGAACTCGAGGTGCGTGCGGGACGTGCTATCCATGCTGAGACTGTCGCTGATCCGCCTCACGCTGCGCAGCTCACGACGATGCCCGATCCGGATTACATCTCGAACCAGAGCGAGGTGACATGGAAGATGCGCGGGATTCTCGTCGACTGGCTCGTCGAGATCCACACCAAGTTCCGCCTGTTGCCCGAAACCATTTTCCTCGCCGTCAACATCCTCGACCGCTTCCTCTCTGTCCGCGTCGTCTCGCTCGTCAAGTTCCAGCTCGTCGGCGTCACGGCCCTCTTCATCGCCGCCAAGTACGAAGAGGTCGTGTGCCCATCGGTGCAGAACTTTCTCTTCATGACCGACGGAGGCTTCACCGACGAGGAACTCCTCAAGGCCGAGCGGTACATCCTCGGCATCATCGACTTCAACCTGTCGTACCCGAACCCGCTCAACTTTCTCCGCCGCATCTCCAAGGCCGAGGGCTACGACATCCAGTGCCGCACCATGGCCAAGTACCTCATGGAGATCTCGATCGTCGACCACCGCTTCATGGCCGCCCCGCCTTCGCTCATCGCCGCTGCCGCGACCTGGCTTGCACGCCGCGTCCTCGAGAAGGGCGAGTGGGTGAGTGCGCAGTTCTGCCACCGCTGAGAACGACGTTGACGATCTCGCTTCCGCAGGACGCGAACTTGATCCACTACTCGGGCTACACGGAAGACGAGCTCAAGCCGACCGCGCAGCTCATGCTCGACTACGTCGTCCGCACCTCGCCGCACCTCTCGTCGTGGGCGCAGAGTCTCGCCGAGGGCGAGGAGGCGATCGAGAACCCGCTCGAGTCGAGCCCGATCGAGCACGAGCAGGAGCACCCGAACTTTGTCAAGAAGTATGCCGCCAAGAAGGTGCGTTCTGCTTTCTCCCTTCGACTTGCGAACGATGCTGACATTGGCAACGTTCACAGTTCTTCAAAGCTTCGGTCGCCATGCGCAAGTGGGCCGAGGCGGAATACGCACCCGAGCCGTACTACGACGACGACGGCGAGCTCCAGCGCCGTGCGGTCCCGCTCGAGCTCTGACTGGTCGACGTCTTCGAGTGGGCGGTCAAGCAGCGCGAGCTGTACGAGTACGGCTCCCTGCGCTACCGCCAACTCGACTTCCTCCTCTTCGCCTGCATCTTCCTCATCGCCCTCCGCTACCTCGAACTCCTTGTTCAGTTTGAAGAGCTCGTTGCCGAACTCGACGAAGACCACATTGCCTACCTCAACGAGTGCGACGACTTCTCCTCCGACTACGACCCCCTCGCATGACCCCCTTGACGATACCCCTCTCCCTCCCGCTTGTTTACCTCCCCTACCCGTTTCCCCTGCGCATGTTCACTCCCCCGTTCGGTTCTTTCGTCGCTCATTGTCTTCATCATCCAGCTTTGCATCGTGCCTCCCCTCACGCCTAAATATCCTACTCGCCTTTGCCGCGCTTGTTGAAACGCACGACCCAGTCGACGCGGCCCTCCTCGTAGCAGTTCGTAGACGCCTGGAGAGTGTTGCTGGCCTTGCTAGTCGCTGGCGAACTCTTTCACCTCCACCGCGAGAAGTTCCCCGCTTCCTGGCGTCCTTTGCTCTCGCTCCTCACATTCTCGCTGACCAGCAGCCTCGCCTGAATGGGCATCCTCGACTCGCTGCACCACCAGCCAGGTGCGTGCTCGCCTTGCTTCGTCTCTCCCGCTCTCCCTCGCCTCCTCTCCGCCCCACTTCTCGTCGCAAACTCGTTTTTCCTGCCCACAACGCTCGAGCTGACTGTCCCGTGACTCGTGTGCGCAGAGAGCTATGCGCGCAAGAAGAACTACAAGTTTGAGGGCGTCTTGGTGAGTGGTGACGCTCGCTCTGCAATGTGGTCGCGAGGAGCGGGAGATGATGCAGTAGACTGGGCGGCTCGCGCTAGAGGATAGATGGGTCACTCAGGGCCTTGTACTGGAGGTGCTGACTTATCTCATGTCGCTCGCAGGGCCACGGCGCTTTTGGCGAGTGCGTCTCTCCCCCCTCGTCCGCTTCGCACCCAAACTCATCCCTGACCTCACCTCCCCTCTTACAGAGTGAAACAAGCAACCTGGTCTCCTCCACCCGGAAACGCGCACTACGACGACGCGCAGAAAGTCGGCGGGCACATCGAGGTTGCTGTCAAGGTCGTCAAGAAGAAGGCGTTGAGGGGGGATTTGCAGGCTGTGCTGGACGAGATTGAGGTCTTGTCGGGTTTGAACCATCCCAACATCGGTGCGCTTGCGCGTTCCTCGCTTCCCGAAAAGTCAGGCTCTCGAGGCTGGCCTTGGAGGTAAGACGCTGGTTGCGAACTCACGAAGGCCGTAATCCTCGCGCTCGCAGTCAAGCTCTACGACCACTTCGAGTCGCGCGACAAGTACTACCTCGCGTTCCAACTCGCTTCGGGCGGCGAGCTCTTCGAGCAGATCTCGAGTCGCGGAAAGTACACCGAGGGCGACGCGGCAAAGGTCATCAAGGATGTTTTGGTGCGTCGGCGCAACTCTCTCAGTCCTGCGCTGTACCTTCTACATGGCGGTGAGCTGATCAGGCCATCCGTCGATGTACAGGAAGGAGTCAAGTACCTGCATTCGCACAACATCGTCCACCGCGACCTCAAGCCCGAAAACCTTCTCTAGTCTGTTCCGTTCCACTGCCTGGCTTGCCGAACTCTATGCTGACTCGTGAACCTCACCCAGTGTCCGCCCTACGTCCGACCAGATCGTCATCGCCGACTTTGGCATCGCGAAACACCTCGACGACGGCGAGAGCTTGACGAGTTTGGCGGGCAGTCCAGGTTACGCAGGTGCGTCGAGAGACTCGCGCAGACTCTGAGGAGTGTGCGTCAACAGTGCACATCGCTGATTCTCTGCCGAGCTTCTCGTCGCCAGCCCCCGAAGTCCTGCTGCAGAAACCGCACGGCAAGCCCGTCGATCTGTGGTCCGTTGGCGTCATCACCTACACCCTCCTCTGCGGCTATATCCCCTTCCGATCGACCGAGACCCGGCAGCTCATCGAAGAATGCAAAGTCGCCAAACTCGAGTTCCACGAAAAGTACTGGAAGAACGTCTCGGCCGAGGCAAAAGCATTCATCAAAGCGCTTGTTAAGCCGAACCCGGGGGATAGGCCGACGGCGGAACAGGCGTTGAAGCACAAGTGGCTGGTTGACGCGCTCAACAAGGAGCACGAGCACGACTTGAGCGCTGGATTCAAGGCGAACTGGTGCGTTCCGCGCTCTCCGCGGCGCTAGGCGAGGCGAAGCATACTGACTGCCGTCTTCGCCCGCAGGACGCCGAGCCGCAAGTGGAAGCAATCGATCAACACGGTGATGGCGGCGCAACGCTTCGCCAGAGCGACTCGAGGTGCCAAAGCAGGCGCCGTCGACGGGCGCCGCGGATCCGACTCGACGGACGAGAGCGACGACGACGGCTTCCACACGGCCGAAGACGAGGAGGACGAGCGGCATGCGCGGGTGCGGTCGAGGGAGTTGAACGCCAAGGAGCATGAGAGGCAGCGCGGCGAAGGCCGGGAGGGGCGGACGAGTGCGGAGCGTGACAGGCAGCGGAATGATGCGCTGAACGCGGTCAGTGACGGTGTCGAGCAGCTGTCGCTGTGAGCGAAGGGGATTGTCGATATGCTGTGCCAGCATTTTTGGGTCGCCGGTTCCGTCCCTCCGCTGTGTAGTCGTTTGTCTATCATTCCACTGCCATTACTACACTCTATAGATCCGTAAACCAGCCGTAACTCCTTTGGGCGAGCGGACTTGCCTGCGCACCGCCCTCGCTCTCTTCTCGTTCCCTTCACCTCGACACCGCTCGTGCGCCTGACGGAGCACACCAAGGCACGCAGAATGAGCACCTCAGCCACCTCGTACGCTCCGGCAGCCCCTCCGCCGTCTGTCCCGCGCGTCCACGACGCTCCCGCTCGCGATGAGCGTGCTTGCCTGCACGCGCACCTCAACGACGTCGGGCGCATCAAGACCCACCCTGCTGGGCTCCGTTCGAGGTTCCGCGACTTCTCAAAGCGCAACATCGTCGCCGCCTACGCCCTCTTCCTCGTCCAGGGCACCCTCAACTGGCTCTCCGCCTTCATCTTCTCGCCCGCGACCGCCTTCACCGATCCCGTCAACACTCTGGCCACTTTGATCATCTACCCGGTCATCAACATCGTCCTCGGCGTGCTCGTCGCCGTCCTCTACGTCGGGAGCAAGTTGGGAGGAGGATGGGTCATTCAGCTCATCTCGGACAACTACGCCGACGGCTACTCGATGGCCAACTGGGTGCGTGCGAGCTCCTTTTCAGCCCTTGGTACACACCGACTGACCAAGTCCGGACAGGCCAATCCCGACATCTTCTGCGCTTCGAGCCGCGAGGCGATTGACGCCGCTCGTCCTTTCCTCACCGGCCAAGGTGCGTATGAGGCTGGCTCTAGCGGTGAAGCAATTGACCTGACGCTACGCTCGCAGTCGCGACGACGAAGGCTCAGCAAGCTGACCCGGGCGAGCAGGATGCCGACTTCACGCAGCTCAAGACGTGCGTCCCGCCTTTCTTGCTCTTCTGCCTGCGCGACTGACTCTCCGCCCAGCGTCCGCACCTTCTCGGTCCCGCTCGCCAAGGCGCTCCTCCTCATGTCGTCAATCGTCTACGAGCGCAACGACAAGCTCGTCAAGGAAGCCGCCGACATCTTCGACCGCACTCAGAAGAAGTACACGCCGGGAACGCACGCCTACGACGTCGAGATGAAGCGTGCCGAGGAGAAGCTTCTCGAGAGCGAGGCCAAGATCAAGGTTCAGGTACGCTTTTCGACGCTTTTCCTCCTCGTCGAGCGAGACTTGACCTTCTTGACTTGCGCAGGCTGCGAGGTGGAACCTCGCCTACGACGGCATCTCGGACCTCTCGACCGTCTCCGGACCGTTCGCGTCCATCTTCTACACGCCGCTCGGGTCGTCGGACAGGCCCTTCATCGTCCTCTGCTTCAAGGGTGCGTCCTGCTTCACAAGGCTTGCTCCTTTCCGACAACTGCGTCGAAAGAAGCTAACCAGGCCATGAAACCGCACAGGCACGACGCCCGTCCAGTTCTCCGAGTGGCTCGTCGACGCCACCATCTCCAAGACCTCGGCCGCCGTCTTCTTCGGTCCCGGCTCTGGCAAGGCTCACTCGGGCTTCTACGACGACCTCTTCGTCCGCAACGACGGCGACGGAGGCTCTGACGGCTACGGTGCGTCGGATCGCTTTCAAGTCGTCCTCTCATCTTCCGCTAAGAGCCGGACTGACTTTCATTGTGGCTCCGTTGTTGCAGGATCCATCGTCCGCACCCTCCGCCACATCGCCGGCAGGATGAAGGCGAACAGCAAGTACAGCCAGACCGAGCACAAGATTCCGCTCTTCGTTACGGTCAGTTTTCGCTTTTCCTCCGCTCCCTTCCCCCGCGGTCCTCGCTTCCGTCGCTGAATCCGTACATGAACTGCCTGCAGGGCCACTCGCTCGGCTCGGCCCTCGCCTCGCTCTGCTTCGCCCGCTTCCTCGCCTCGGAGAATGACCTCGGCGCGGACCTCGACCTCAAGGACTGCTACGTCTTCGGCACTCCGCGTCTCGGCGACGGCGACTTTGCGAGCGCCTTCGAGCACAACCTCACGACGGCGCTCGACCGCCCCAACATCCTCTGGCGCGTCAGGAACCACGTCGACATCGTCTGCTCCGTCCCCCCCGGCGTGACCGACGCCGAGTCCCTCCGCGGCACCGTCTCGTCCTCGTCGCTTCTCAACTACGCTCACATCGGCCCCGAGATCCGCCTCTTCCCCGTACTCCCGTACAGCCCGCCGTACTGGAAGGCCAACGAGCTCGGCGCCTTCCACGAGGCCACGGAGGTTCAGGTCACGGGCGGACATGCGAGTCAGCAGGAGTTGATGCAGCAGGGCGGAGGGCTTGACTTGAGGAGGACGAGCGCGAGGGTCGGCGCGATCGAGGGCTCGAGGGGCGGGAAGAACTGGCTTCGCTGGGCGATGGCGGCTCTCCCGTCGCCTTTCTACGACCACCGTGCGTTTGACTCGCTTGCCTGACGCCTGCTTCACGTCGTGCTGACGCTTCACCCCCCGCGACGCAGTCCCAGCAGTTTACTACGCGCACCTCTCGAACCTGATCAACTCGTCCCGCTCGACGCCCATCTCGTCCGGCCGCCTCGCCGCCTCGCTCAACGCCTTCGCCGACCAGACCGTCCAAGACGCCAAGAACCTCTCTGACTTTTTCGGTGTCGAGGCCGGAAAGGCGGAGGAGGTCGTCAAGAGCGGTGTGCAGCGCATGAAGAGCGAGGCGCAGCAGAGGTTCTAGGAGCGTCAAGAGACTCGCTTGCGGAGGATGGACGAGCGCGTCTAAACGGAGGAAGGAAAGACGAATCGCTTAGGTTTCGAGTCGCTCGGTTTTCTCGCTTCTTCTTGTCAGTACCGCTTGTTGCCGTTCACATAGTTTGCATCGTAGCATCGCTTCCACTGTACTTCCTGAGCGCTTGACGGAGGAGCGGAGGAAGCGTGAGTGAAAGGAAGGGAGCGGGACGTGAGAAAGCGTTCACCCTGGCATGCTCAGTTCCTCGTCATTTGAGCGACCGTACCGAGATCGAGCGAGTGATAGCGACGATAAGTGATACAAGCACCGCGCAGCGGGATAAACCCAACTCTACTTCAACCTTCTACTCACCACCCCTCCTCCATCCACCTCAAATTCACCAACCCCTCCACGCCCTTCTCCTCCTTCACACCCACCAGATGCTCGTAGAGTAATTCGGGCGCGTTCGTGAGGGCCCATTGTTCGGCGTAGGGACGGAGGAGGGTGTTGAGTACGGCCGCGAGGCGGAGACCGGCTTGTGTTAGGAGACGCTCGAGGGTGAGGGAGTCTGTCGGCGAGGAGCAGGGCGGTGATGTTAGCCGCAAGCGTAGCGGAGAGAAGGGAGCCGAATGATAGAGGAGGTGAGGGAAGGGAAGGAGCAGAGGAAAGGAGCGGACGCACTCCTGATCTTGGCGTAAAAGTTGCTCCTCCCTCCGATCTCCTCCAACGGCTTCCGCTCCATTTCGTACCCCTCCGGAAAACCCATCTCACACGTGGTCCTATGCGTCTCGGTAGCCCATGTGAAGGGACAGACGACGTCGTCTGCGCCGAGGTTGAGGCGGATCTGGTTGAAGGGCGGAGAGATGGAGGAGGGGGAAGAGCAGGTGAACCAGGAGGGGAGGGAAGTGCGCCACCAGGACCGGACGCCTTCCCAGAGGAGGAGACGGATGTAGGGGTCGTAGATGCGGCCTGTGAGGGCGTCTTCGATCTGTTTGCTGCGGTTTGCCGGCCATTCTTTCACCATGTCAGCGCCCGCCAGTGCGTGGACAGGAGAGGAGACAAAGCCGCAAGAGCGCAAGCGAACGCACCTCGGCACCGGCCTCGTATAATTCCTCTGCTCCCTCAACGCCCTCGCGATCAACAACCCGTCCCACACCGAATGCATGTTGCTCACCCTCCCTTCCCACAGAACTGGATCACCGTTCCCGCCCCGCTCGCGCGAGGTTAGGTGCAGGGGCTGGTGGATGTCGCCGAGGAAGTGGATGAGGAAATTGAAGGAGGGCCAGCTGTGCATCGGTTTCGTCGACGAACACGCCCTGTCAGCTCGGAGGGAAGAGAGACGAGCGAGAAAGACGCGCGCGACGCACTCGTGCGGGTTGTCCTGCAACCTCTGCGAATAATTCCCCACCGCCCTCAGTACATCATGTTCCGAGTTCCACCCTCCGTCTCCCCCTTCCCCACCTTGCTCCATGCTCTCCGGCCACGCACAAACCTCAGGCGGCCTATCCCCCTTCCAACCCGTATAATGCAGCCCATTACTCCAGCCTCTATACTCCGGCAATCCCTTTATCCTGTCCGCCCAGCTCGCGAGAGGAGCGAGGTGGCCTCTCGACCAAGGTGGGAGGAGACCTGAGTCGGGTGAGCGGATGTAGGAGAGGATTAAGGGGTGGAGGTGGATCTCGGAGAGGGTTGCGACGATCTCGTGGCCGGCTGCGCCCCAGCCCAGAGCTGGGGAGGCGAGTGAGAGGAGTGTGAGGGGGAGTAGGAGGGCTGGTAGACGCATTGGATGAGTGTGAGAGGTGTGAGCGGGTGCGGGAGATGAAGATAAGAGGGATGTGGGGGGAGGATGAGGGCGGGTGGTGAGAGCGAGCGAGGGCCGTTAGAGCGTTTCTAGCGTAGCTCAAATTCTCGGCAAGTAGCTTGGGAGACAGCAGCGGCGAGACGAGCGCGACGAGTGAAGTTGAGGAGGTCAAGAGGAGAATCGAGGCTCCGGTCTCTCGACTCAAAAGCCAGCACATCTGGGTCAAGACAGACGCTTGCGAGTCGCAACAACACGAGGAACTACGGGACAGACGAGCGAAAAGGGAGGGGAAAAGGGAAAAGAGGACGTGGTCCCTCGCTCAGAGTTCACCCGCCGCGCCCTCCTCGTTCAGCGACGCCTGCAACTTCTTCAGTTCCTCGCGACTCTTGGGCTGCTCGAGGTTCTGCAGCTTGTCGTTGTCGGGAACGTGCGGGGCGTTGCCGCGTCCGCCCATGATGTTCTCCGGGCGATTCGGGTCATGGAGGTGCTGGAGGGTCGGGGCGCCGCCGAGACCTGTTTGTGGCAACGTCAGGGGGAGTGCGAGGCTGTAGAAGGGTGAGGGGACGCACCGGGGGTGGCCTCTGCGTCTGAGCCGGGGAAGTTGGGAGGGGGGACGTTGTCCTTTGCCGGGTGAGGCTGGATGGTGAACTCTTGCTCGGTGTTCTGGTCGTTTGAGGCCTGCTCGCAGGAGTCGTGGCAAGGTAGCGAGAGGTCAAACGGAGCATTCAGAGGGGGTTGTCGAGGATTCGCAAGCGACGAGGGAACGAGGGTCAGCGGCGCTTCGACGACGAGTGCAGGTTGGACGGTGCGCACCATTGTGTCTGTGTGGGTGAGTCTGAGTCTGTGATAGCTTGTGGGAAGCAGAAGGAGAGAGCGAGAGAGCAAGAGTGTGAAGGGGACGAAGCCAAGTCGATGACGAGGGCAAGGAGGGCTGCTCGATGCCAGCCGTAAAATCAGGCAAACCCCAGTAATTCTAGTTAGAATGTAACAGCCTACACAGTGTCAAGCCCACCCACCCGCGCTGCGTTGTCGTCGAGTTGAACCTCCCCCTCCTCGTCCTCATCACTGTCGTCCTCGCTCTTTACGCTCACACTCGCTCAGGATGCTCGCAGCCGCAACGAGGCAGGGCGCACAGCTCGGACGTGCTCTCCGCAACCAGCCCGCAAAGGCCTGCAGGTCCCTCTCGTCCTCGACCGTCTCCCCATCCTCGCTCCTCCTCCAGTCGCAGCGCCGCGTCGAGCAGCAGCAGCAGCGCGCGAGCGACGAGCTCGGCGACATCGTTGCAAAGCGCTGGCTCGGTCACGCGGCTTCAAACGGCACAGATGCAGACAGGGTCAGTCACAGCGCCTGTCCCCGCCCGATAAGCCTCCCTCTTGACTCTGCCATGGTGGATGTTGGCGAATGGACGATGGAAGAGCTCGCTAACATGGATGTACGCGGAACAGGAGACCATTGTCCGACTGCTGTACTCGCTCGCCTCGCGCCGCGAAGTCTCGCGCTACCTCCAGATCTTCTCGTCCGCGACCCACTTTGCCGTCCTCAAGGTCGGCGGCGCCATCCTCACCAACGACCTCGAGTCGCTCACCCTCTCACTCAACTTCCTCCACCGCGTCGGACTGTACCCCGTCGTCGTCCATGGCATGGGAGACAAGCTGAATGCCCGCCTCGAGGCTGACGGGATCGTCCCCGACTACATTGACGGTGCGTGGGGCCACCGGGTCTCTTTTCTGCGCTTCGTGTGCAGTCATACACTGGATGCTGACCATAGTTCCGTACAGGCATCCGAATCACCGACGCACGCACGCTCTCGCACGCCCGCCGAGTCTTCCTCTCGGAGAACCTCAAGCTCGTGTCTGCGCTCGAGGCGCTCGGTACGCGCGCTCGCCCGATCACGACCGGCGTCTTCACCGCCGAGTACCTCGACAAGCCGCGGTACGGCTTTGTCGGCCGCATCACGGGCGTCGACAAGGAGCCTATCGAGGCTTCGATCCGCGCTGGCGCACTTCCCATCCTCACCTCGCTCGCCGAGACGCCCGACGGCCAGATCCTCAATGTCAATGCCGACGTCGCGACGGCCGAACTCGCCAAGGTGCTCGAGCCGCTCAAGATTGTCTACCTGAGCGAGAAGGGCGGGCTCTTCCACGGCGTCACGAAGGAGAAGATCTCGCTCATCAACCTCGACGAGGAATACGACGACTTGATGAAGCAGGAGTGGGTCAAGTACGGCACCAAGCTCAAGCTCCGCGAGATCAAGGACCTCCTCGACCACCTCCCGCGCTCGTCGTCCGTCGCCATCATCCAGCCCGACAACCTCCAGAAGGAGCTCTTCACCGACTCGGGTGCCGGTACGCTCCTCCGCCGCGGCTACAAGCTGTACAAGCACGCTTCGATCGACGCGGTCGGTCAGGACCGCCTCCGCCGCGTCCTCTCCGAGCGCGACGAGGACGTCACGAGCGGCCGCAAGTCGGTCGCGCAGGTCCTCTCCGAGCTCGAGAAGCAGCAGGCGCCGTTCACCATCTACGGCGACGAGCCGTGCGACGTCGTCGCGATCGTCTCGCACCCCGAGGGCCAGACTCCCGTCATGACCAAGTTCCTCGCGAACCAGACGGCGATCCAGAACGGCGTCACGGACAACGTCTTCAACTCGATCAAGCGCGACTTCAAGCGCCTGTTCTGGACCGCCAAGGCCGACGACGAGAACAAGTCGTGGCACTTTGAGCGCGCCGACGGGTCGTTCACCCGCAACGGTCGCTCGTTGTACTACTACGGCGTCCAGGACGCCGGAGAAGTCGAGCGCCTCGTCAAGGACCTCGATGCGAGCCAGCGCATCGAGCGCGCGTACCTCCCCATCTCGTACACCTCGTCCGCGCGCGGTACCGTCCACTCGGAGCCCAAGCTCGCCTCGGCTCTCCGCTCGTACTCGACTTCGGCTCGTCGTCCCGCGCCGACCGCGCTCGGCCAACAGACCCGGTCGTTCTCGACCTCGCCCGCGTACGCTGCGGCAGCCAAGCGAGTCGCACTCATCGGTGCGCGCGGCTACACCGGCCAGAACCTCGTCTCGCTCCTCAACACGCACCCGTCGCTCTCGCTCTCGCACTGCTCGTCGCGCGAGCTCGCCGGCCAGCCTTTGAGCGACTACACGAAGGAGAAGGTCACGTACCAGAACCTCTCGTTCAAGGAGATTGAGCAGCTCGAGGCGCAGTCCGCCGTCGACGCTTGGGTCATGGCGCTCCCGAACGGCGTCATGGCGCCTTTCGTCGAGGCGATTGACAAGGGCGCGCAGGGCAAGAGCGAGGAGAAGAAGAGCGTCGTTATCGATCTCGGCGCCGACAAGCGCTTCGACGATTCGTGGACCTACGGCCTTCCCGGTGAGCTGCGCGCCTGAGTTCTCTCCTTCCGCTGTGCACCATCCCGATTCCCCCATCACATGCATCCCCCGCCTCAACAACATCCCTGTCTCTCGAGTCGTAACAAGTCAAAGTCCCCCTTCAAAGAGTTTGTGTGCAGTCCCAGTCCTTTCCCATCAAGAGCAGTCCTCAGCTGTAACGCGGCATTATCAAAAACTGTCGTTGCCGCTGAGGCTGTTCGTTGACGAGGACTGGCTGCTCGGCTCTGGCTCGCCCGACTCCGCCATTCCGTTACAGCCTCTCCGTACAGCTTGCTAACTTCATTGTTTGTACCTGGCAGAACTGTACGGCCGCGACGCTCTCCGCACCGCCAAGCGCATCTCGAACCCGGGCTGCTTCGCCACCGTCATGCAGATGCTCGCCGCCCCTCTCATCCCGCACATGTCTGCTCCTCCCACCGTCTTTGCCGTCTCTGGCTTCTCCGGCGCCGGCACCAAGTCAGGCTCGGAGCCCAAGATCCCCGCCGAGTCGCTCAAGGGCGGCATCCGACCTTACGCGCTTACGGACCACATTCACGAGCGCGAGGCGGCGTTTCAGCTTTCTAAGCTCGTGACGGACGAGGCGCAGCTCTCGAAGGACGAGCTGAAGCCCGCCTTCATCCCCTCCGTCGCGCCCTGGTTCCAGGGCATCATCGCGACCATCTCGGTTCCCCTCAAGCAGGAGATGCGGGCGTCGCAGGTCAAGGAGCTGTTTGAGCAGAAGTACGCGGGCGAGAAGCTCGTCAAGCTTCAGAACGAGGTGCCCGAGATTTATCAGATTGCGGGCAAGCACGGCGTCCGGATCGGTGGCATCCAGGTTCACTCGAGCGGCAAGCGCGTCGTCATTGTCGTGCGTCTCTGCTCGTCTAGTCCCACACGGCGAAGCTGATACACTCTTTGCGTAGGGCGTCATCGACAACCTCCTCAAGGGAGCGGCGACCCAGTGCCTCCAGAACCTCAACATCGCGCTCGGCTGCGACGAGCTGGCCGGCATCCCTCTTGACTTCTGAGCGTCGTAAGGATCTGAGGTATGAGGAAGAAGCTAGGTGGGAAGTGAAAGAGGGATGGGGAGAAGGGCTGTATGTAGTTTAGATCATCGAGCTCGTGTTTGCGCGGGCTCGCCACATTGCATTATCCATCGATACCTACACGAAGGGCCCGTACGAACTGGAAAAAGAGCGAGCCGTGGATACCAAAGTCCTCCTCGTCTCGGAACTCGAGGTTGACATCGTCCCTCTCCAGCTCTCTCGCTCTCGGGATGTCTGATCGCGCTCGAACAGAGTCCAGAGCATCGTACCGCTCTTCCCGACCCGCATCAGCCGCGTCTGTCGCGTCCGCTACCACCGCCCGACCCTCCTCATCGCTCGCGTACTCGAGTTCGGCGCCTCACCACCCAAAGACTCCGAAAGCTAGCGCTGCGCGGTTTGGTGGATTGGCGGAGAAGCAGCTGCAGCAGGTACGCTCGCGCGAAAGGGTTGTCGCTTGGAGGAAGGCCATTGTTTGCTGACCCGAGCGATGCACTCCTCTGCCGACTGCAGCTCCAAAGTAGCATCAGGGCCGCGTCGAAGAAGGTGAGTATAGATGGTGCAGCTCGGCGGACGAGGCCAAGCATCGTCAGGGAGGCAGAAGAAGCGGAGGAGGCCGGTTCGTCTTCCCTCTCCTCTCCCCAATGCGAGAGGCAGTCGCTCACGCTTGACCGTTTTGTTGAGCAGCTCCCGAAGGCAGCTTCATTGCCGAGACGTCCTTCTCCCGCGCACCTGTCAACTCCCGCCTACCGCACATCTCCCCTCACCGCGTCGCCGCCCAACCCGCCCGCAAGCGCACCTCGACTGCACAACATCCAGCCAGTCGGCGAAATGGAGGGGCTATCGACGATGACGAGGAGGACGATGTATCTGATTCTGGCTCGGTCATTGAGGAGGACGAGGAGGACGAGGAAACGAAGCTGAGGAAGGCAAAGGCGCGGCGGAAGCAGCTGGGACTGGATAAGGAGCCGCTCGAGGGGTTGAGCGCGGAGCTGCAGGAGGCTATTTTGACGGAGGACTTGCTTTTTGTTCTCATGGTGCGTTGGCCAGACCATCGCTACTGCCAGTCCGGCTTATCCGTCCGTTTCTCAGGGCATCGAGGGTCGCTATGTCGAGTTCGACCCAGCATACACGCCCGAAGACGACTACGAAAGGCTGCAAGGTGCAAAGTTCGTCGTCGACCCGCAACTCGGTACGTCCATCCCTGCTTGCACCGGTCGTCCTCCGCCTGCTTACTGCCTTTACCCGCAGACCCCCGCATCTCGGCCCTAGTCTCCCGCTTCCTCCCTCTTGCCACCTACTACACCGCTATCACTGCTTTTATCGAGCAGTACTCGGTTCTCGAGCACGGCACCGTTAATCACGCTCTCTGCGCGGCCATCCGCGAGATGCTCAAGGTTAGTCCGAGTCTCTCCTTCGAGTGTTCTGAGCTCATGTCTTCGCTTTCCAGGACTATCTCATACTCCTCGCCCGGATCGAAGAGCAGTTCAACTCGTCGTCTTCCTTCACCCTTCAGCGCTTTTGGCTGCTCGTCCACCCCGCCCTCAACGCTCTTGCGCTCGTCTACGCCTTGACGCTCGAGATTGTCGAGCTCAGCGTACCATCTGTTGAGGACGAGGACGAGGACGAGAACTCGGAGGCCGACAGCGACGACATGTACGGCGGAGGGCTCGGCGACGTCCTGGCGGAGCTCAAGGCTGCATCGACCGCCGCTCGGCCTGAGTCGGCCAACAAGTCGGCACCCTGGCGCTTCGGCCCATCGCTCGGCGGCGAGACACTCTCAGCCATCGCGAACCGACTAATCCGCACCTCGGGCGACCCCGCCGCACACGACCTCTACTCGCATCTCCTCCTCCGCGCCAGCCAGCCATACACTCAGATCCTCCTCGGCTGGATCTCGACGGGCAGGCTCGAGGACCGGTGGGAGGAGTTCTGCGTGCGGGAGCAGAAGGGTTTCTCGACCGGCACGCTTGACGCAGACTACACCGACGAGTATTGGGAGCGCCGCTACACCCTCCGCGACCGCACCGGAACATCCTCGGCGTCGTCAGCGAACGCCAGCGGGAACGGCAAGTCGCCCATGCAGTTCTCGTCGACCGACGCGGACGACCAGCCTCGCCTGCGCGGTCTCGCCGGAGGAGCCGTCATCCCGCCCTTCCTCGAGCCGTGGAAGGACAAGATTTTGCTCGCGGGCAAGTACCTGAACGTCATTCGCGAATGCGGAATCGAGATCGAGGTGCCGGACGAGGTCAGGCTTGGCTCGGGCGACGAGCAGGACGGTATGGTCGACATGCAGGCTGAAGGGTGCGTTCGAGAGTGCTTTCCTGCGCAACGCTCTGCAGCGACGCTGACGCTTGACTCTGCTCCGCCGTCATCGCACGCAGCTTTTTCAAGCGGATCGAAGCAGCGTACGCCTACGCGAACAAGACGCTCCTCAAGCTTCTCTTCGAGCAAGAGGACCTGCTTTCTCGCCTCGAGTGCGTGCCGTCCTCGCTTCTCCCCCTGCTGATCTGACTCAGGATTTGCCCACGCAGGACCATCAAGCACTACTTCTTCCTTCACGCCGGCGACGTCTTCACGCATTTCCTCGATATGGCCAAGTTCGACCTCGGTCGGAAGAAGCGTCGCATCCCAATCGAGCGACTACAGACGCACCTCGACCTCGCCCTCCTGCGCTCGACAAACCAGAGCGGGTCCGCCAAGTCCGAGACGTTCAAGGACGACTTGCGCGTCGTGTTCGAGGACGTGACGGTCGCGGACTGGTTGCTCAAGATTGTCAAGCAGACGGGCGCGATTGTTGGACCGGATGGGACGCCTGTTGATGTCCTCGATAGCGGGAAGAAGGCGACGAGCGAGAAGCAGGCCAAGGAGTCGGGCGAGCTGACCGGTGCGTACGCGTCAGCTCGTCTACTCGCTGAATCCACTGACAGTGTAGCACGCCCCGCAGGCTGGGAAGTCTTCGACCTCGACTACTCGGTCAAGTTCCCCTTGTCGCTCGTGCTCTCTCGCAAGTCGATCACCTACTACCAGATGATCTTCCGGCACCTCCTCCGTCTCAAGCACCTCGAGCGCAACTTTCAAGAAACCTGGACCGAGCACCTCAAGACGCCCGCCTGGCGTCGTCGGTCTCCCTACCCCGAACTCCAAGCCTTCAAGGGCCGCGTGTTTGCCCTCCGCGCGCGGATGTACGATTTCGTCAAGCAGGTGTTTGACTTTGCGGTCAGCGAGGTGTTGGAGGTTAGGTGGGCCGAGTTGAGGAAGAAGCTCGAGGGGTGCGAGACGGTCGACCAGCTCCTGAAGGACCACGACAACTTTCTCAACACGTGCACGAACGAGTGTCTCCTGACTCACCAGAGCCTGCTCGAGGTGCGCGCGCTCTCGCTCTCAAGCACACTGCTCGGCTGACGAGTTTGCGCCCCGCAGATCCTCCATCAGAAGCTGTTCAACACCTGCTACGTCTTCAACAGCTACACGACGACTTTTACGCTCATCGTGGTCCAGAGCGAGGCAGAAGCGAACGGTGACTGGGCGCGCGTGAGCAGCGCAAAGTTCAAGGAACACTGGACGTTCCTCGACCGGTCCGTCCCTCCCCTCCCTTCCCTCCTCTCGAGCTGATGCTGATGTTCGTGACGCAGGTTCGAGAAACACTTCAACCACTTCTCGACCCTCGCGCTTCAGCACCTCCGTGTCGCCGCAGCGAGCGAAAACTCGCGCATCCTCCCGCTCCTGTCGAGGCTGAGCAGTCTCGCCGAGAAGCGATAGCCTCCCCCCCACTCTCTTCTTCTCTCTCGTACTTCGCGATGTTGTATTGTGACGAGTGCCTTGGAACGGCTGTTGGATGCTGTGCCGTCGTAGTTCGGGAAGTGGACGAGGAGGAGAATCGAGGCAACTCGCTCGCACTTCGGTTCGGATAGTTCACGCACATTTCGTAAGACGCTTGCTGCTGGATCTGACACAGACCAAGCAGCCGAAGCGTTGCGAGCGACCACAAGTCCCCCTTATCCCGCCGTTGTGATCAGTTTGTATTCGCCTCATCGCGAGCGAACGAACTCCTCTCCCTCCTACGCTTCGCTCGCTCGCTCTCACTCTCGCCTGCTGCTGCCCAACTTCGTACGTCCGCTCTCCCACCCACTCAATACTCCGCGCCGGCCCAGCCCTCCCGGACCCCCTCAAATGATGCCAACTACTCGCACAATCCAAACTTCGCGATCCGAGAACGCCTCACGGCGGATGCTCGTCTCCGCCCAATCAAGGGCAACACGTTTACCTATTAGCCTGATTCCATTCCAACACACCGATTTGGGCTGGGCGGGGCGCGCAGGAGGAAGGAGGAAGAGGGAGGGCGAGCTGACAACGTTTTCCGTCGGCCGCTCGCGCGACACAGGTTCGATGAGGCTGAGTTGGACGGGTTACGGAGAGGTAGTAGATGGAAGTACAGGGGATCGCTTGCAACGGGCGGATTGGTGCCGACCACCTACGTTCGAAGGACTCGTTGGCGCTTTCTCTCTCCCGCTGTTCTCGAGGGCTTGCTCGTTGCCCTGCTCTCTTGGTGACTGGGGACTGGTCTTGCTCGTTAGCGGCGGGACGCCACGAACTCGCGAAACAACCAGGCTACGTCGCTTCGCCTCGAACCGTCCTCCTCAAGACCGGCCGTAATCCCTCTCCCTCGCCCGCGCCCGCTTCCCACCGCCGGAACTCCGCCTTCTCTCCAAGCAAAGAAGAACACGCCTCGTGCGTCGTCACTTCTCGTGCACGCGCGAGAGGTAGAACCTGGCTCGTGGAGAAGTCGAAGCCCGGCTTGGTCTCTTCCCCTTCGCTCGCCTGCCTGGTCGGTTGGGGAGCAGATGGGATCGAGCGACGCGAGTGCCGGGATATAATTGAATCGGCTCGCTCGATTGGCGAGCAGGGTCTTGATTACGATCTGGAATAGACTTGGCAGTGATGGGCGAGCGACCAAGCGAGACGCGTTGTTGTTTTGTGGACTTCCGGACATCGACGCCAACGTTGCAAGCACACCTCGCGACAAACGACGGCTGGGGACGGTGCAGCACACGCTGGCGACTCACAGGCAAGCAACCACACTCCTTTGCATCCGCGGACTCGCACGGCCAACGCTCACGCTCCTCGTCGAACAGCTCTCGCCCGACGGCGGGGTCAGCGTACACGCCCGCCCCGCCAAGGTACCGCCCGCAGAACCACCCAGACGCACAATGCCTGCGTAGAAAGTTTGTCAAACCACCCGCCCACTGCGTCCCGAGACGAGCGCAGCGTCCGCTCCCTCCCCGTCCTCCGACGCCTCCGACCCCGTCTCTCGCCGCCGCACAGCGCTCGATGGGCGAGTCACAGCGACCAGTGGCATCGCACAAGACGCCCACACTCGCACCGCAACAGCCAGCGCGCAACTCGCCCTTCGACACGCTCGCTTCCGCGCCCCACTCCCAGCTCCTCGCTCTCGGACTCGTCGTCGCCTTTCTCGGCGGCGGGCTCTGGATTCTCCGTCTGCGCCCGCGATTCCCAAAGGACACGTCGAGCAAGGCGAGCAAGAAGCGCAGGCAGGCAGCGCTCAACCGCATCATCCAGGCGCAGGAGGCCGCTCAGTCGACTTCATCCGCCGCTTCTCCCGCGGACGAGGCAGGCAAGGCGCGCGGGCTGCGGGACGCTCTCAAGGCCCCTCTCGCAGCGGCGGCCGACTACCTCCCCTCCCGTTCGACCTCATCCGCGTGCATTGCATCGACCTCTGCCGCGATCCTCTCCGGCCTCAAACGGATAGGGAGCGCAGCGAGCGGGGCTTTCTCGGTGACGAGGAGGACGGCGGCGGCGGCGAGCGCGAGCGCGAAGGGGAAGGGGAAGGAACGGTTGGTCGAGGAGACGGAGGAACCGGCGCGCGTAGATGGAGATGCGGTCAGTTCGGCGTTGCAGGTGCAGACGGTGCAGGGGGAAGGCTCGACGCGCAGGGGGAGGGGAAGGAAGGGCAAGGGTGGGACGGCGGCGGGAGGAGGGTTACCTTCGCCGTCGCTCTCACACTCGCAGGGCTCGAGACCGCACAGTCCGAAACCGGTCATGCGAGAAGTTGGCGTTTCTTGCGCTGGCTGGACGAGGGTCGAGACGAGCGATGCGGGCGTACAGACGGATCCGCATGAGGTGGAAGTGGAGGCGATTTCGCGGCGCGAAGACGAGCGGGTACCGCAGATCCAGCGCCTCGACTCGGACCCGACACCGAGGAGCGACTCGCCTCCTCGCGGTCGCGCATGTATTGGAGAAGATCCTCCTCCACCTCCCGACGATCCACCTTCGGTCCCCCCTCTTCCCCTCGCTCGCGCCGACATCCTCGCAGCGCCCGCTCCGCGCCCTCCGATCCTCCCAATCCCCTTCGACCTGCACGCCTCCTTCCGCTCCACGCCTACCGATGCTCCTCCACCCGCCACCGCTCACTCCTCATCCGCCTCCTCGTCCTCTTATCCTCCTCTCACCTCGCCCCCTCTCTCGCCCTCCCGCTCGCCAAGCAGCACGATCCCTCCCACCTCTTCACCATCCGGCTCTCCGACTTCTTCTCGCCGCGCGCATTCGCCTACGACGCGGAGGAGGTCGTCGGCGATCGAGGTGAATGGACATTTGGCTGTCGCTTCGAGTGCTTCAGGCGGGTCGGGGTCCGGCGCGTCGACGCCTGCTTCGTCGTCGGCCTCGGCGGAGGGAGGGAAAGCGAGGAAGGCGCAGCGCAAGTCGAGCACCGTCGAGTCGAGCGGGAAAGCAGGGGGAGGCGGAGTAGTGGGAATGCCCAACGCCATCGCCGCACCTCGCAAATCCCCCTCTGTCACTCCCTCCACTCCTTCCACTTCCTCAAGCCCTCGCACTACGAACGTGCCTCTCGCCGGTGTCGGCGGGGGAAGGAGGCCAAGTACGGCGAGTAGTAGCGCTGGGAGTAGTTCGGCGGGTGGATTTGCGGGAGGAGGGGGAGCGGTGGCGCCTTTGACGGCTGCGACGGCGGAGGGTGGAAGGACGATCAGGCCGGCTGGCGCGGTGAGGAAGAGGTCGAGTTTGCAGGGCTTGGGGGTGGAGATGGATCGCGCGCAGAGGGAGGAAGGGACGGTCGACGGACAAGCAGGAAGGGACGGCTACTTCGGCGGTATGCGCACGCCGAGCTGGACCTCGCCCGAGTCTTCGCCCTTCCCGACTCAGCGGTCCTTCAGCTCGTCCTTCACCACGACGACGCCCGCGCAGTCTCAGCCGCCATGGTCGCCTCAGCAAGTCCAGCAGCTCCAGCAGCTCCAGCAGTACCAGTTGCTCATGTCGCAGTCCTCGGCGGCGCACCACCAGGCTTCGAGGCCGCCCTCGAGAGGGGGTTCTCTGTCCGTCCCGCCGGGGATGTCGCAGCAGCAGCAACAGCAGCAACAGGCGTACGCGGCGCTCGCGGCGCAGGCGCAGATTCAGGCTGTGCATGTCCAGGCGACGTATCAGCAGGCTATGGCGCTTCACGTCCAGCGGCAGCAGCAGGCTCAGGTTCAGGGCGCGTCGAGGAGGAGAGGGATGTCGACTGGACCGATGGGCGAGGACGACGGGTTCCTCTTACCCGCTACGGCAACTCCTGCGACTCCGAGCGGCTTTTGCTCACTCTCGGCCATCGCTTCCCCTCCGACCCAGAACGGGACTTGGTCCGCCGCTTCGCACCCCGCTTCACCGATGGTCGCCTCCTTCGCGTCGCCTCAATCCGCCTACGCCGCCTCTCCAACCTCAGCGTCGTTCCCGCCCTCTGCAACGACATACCCCTACTCGTCCGTTACAGTCAACGGCACGCCTACCGGCCCTGGCCCAGCGTACCTCGGCTCGCCCTCGCCTGCCTCGGCATCGGCAGCGGCGGTAGCGTACCAACAGGCTGCGTACCAGCCACAACAGCAATATGCGCGCGCGTCGGGTCAGGCGTACCCGCCTCAGCGGCCGCGGCTGACGTCGAGCGTCTCGTCCGTCGCTGCGCTCGGGAGCGGGAGTAAGCAGTCCCCCGGCGGTGGAGCGGGGAAGAAGGCCGTTGGGACGGACAAGATGGGTATGCGAAACGTCTCGAACGGATCGACGAGCGAGGGGACGACTTCGGGCGGAGTGCAGCTCGGTGATCCGCCCGCGGGTTGGAAGAACAAGCTCAAGCAGTCGGAGATGGAGTGCGAGCGGACGGCTAAGGAGCTCGAGATTGCGAGGTGGAGGTTGACGGTGCTCGAGGAGGAACAGCGCGCGAGCGAACTTGATGTGCGTCCTGTCTTCTTTCGCCTTGTCTCATTTGTTTCGAGCTGACTGTGCTCGCGGCGCAGAGCCAAGAAGCACTCAAGGCACTTGCGACTCGCGCGATGCGCGCCGAAGCTCGCATCAAGCTACTCGAGGAAGCCGTCTCCCGCGCAACGAACGGCTCTTCCGCCGATCACGTTGACGCGCCACCACCGTCGTTGCCCAGTCCGGCGAGCTCGAGTCCTGTCGTACCTGCGGCTGCAGCTGTACCAAACGGGCTTGCTGTGCCGGGAGCGGGAGAGGCGGAGGTTGCTGTTGCAGGCAGTCCGCTGGGCAGAGGCGTGAGTTCCGCTCTGTTCTTCTGCTCCGCCGGATCTTCAGCTGACTCCCCTAGCTCGTGCAGGTCCACCCGCTTGCCTGGCTAGACCTCGACGCTGTCTCGTTCAGTAGTCCCCGCCCACTCGGTCCTCCTCGCTCTCCCCAGTTCCTTCCCTCGCCCAAGTCCAGCAACAATCGCCGCCGCAGCAGTCGTCAGTCGTATCAGCCAAACGAGCCGAACGGTATCGGTCGTCGCCGTTCAAACGGGAAGCGCAAAACTAGCGCGCCGTCACCTACTCTCGCCATCCCTCCCGCCACCGCCGACTCGCTTAGTGACGACGACGACCATGATGTTGTCATCGTCCTCGATGCGCCTTTGCGTCACCGCCCTGTCCCGCGTCGCTCGCCGTCTCGCCGCTCGTCTTACGTCGGTGACGTGGAGGCACTCGACCAGGACGGTTCGAGCTTGCTGGACGAGGACGAGATCCCGAGCATCGATATCGACGATGGCGAGCCAATCGCAGGCGGTGCAGTTGTCGGCGAGAGCGAAGATGGACTCCGCCTTCACCCCGAGTACATCGGCTTCTTGCCGTCCTACCTCTCGCACATCCCGTTCGGCGCTTCGCCAGCTCTCGTCCCGAATGGACACGCGTCTTCCGTCCCGAGCTTCGTCCTCGACGTCTCGCCGACGTTGGATCCCGTCGAGTTCGCCCACCCAGCAGATTCGGCGGAGGACTCGACGGCCAAGCTCGAAGTGCCGACACCCGAGGGACGCGACTCGCCTGAGGACGCACCTGCGCCGACAGCCAAGCAAGGCCATGGTGTCTTACCAATGATCGATGCGTCTCCGCCTCTCGTCACTGGCCTCTCCGACAAATCGCTCGCTTCGCCCATCGAGTCTGGCGAGCCAACACCGCGCGTCGCCTTCCCGCCTTCGCCACCCGAAGATAAAGCCGACAACTACCTCTCCAAGGCCATCAAGCCCGCATCACCAGTCGACGTCCCTCTCCCCTCGTCTCCCGACTTCCCGCCCACCGCATGACCCTCTTTCGCCCCTCTGTGCTTATCTCCTTTCTTCCGCAACCGCAGTCTCGCAAGCACCCATCCTTTTGTTGTTGCGCGAGCCGCATCTCAGGCCGCCTCGCTCGAAGTAGCGTACTTACCTCGCATCTGCATCGAAGCCCGGAGCTCAGCTTGCAAGACTGAGAACCCGCGCCGCGAGATGCTGAGGACGATGCGAGGACCCCGCTAAATGCATGACAACAAGTACACTACACCGCTATGCCCTCCTGTCGCGCAATCTCGAGGAAGTCCCACATGCCGGGCAGCAAGTCTTCCCGACCTTTTCTCGCCGCAAGCGCGTCCTCAACCGTACTCCCGCCATTCTCCATCGCCCACACGCGCTCGTCGCTCAGATACTCGATGCTCGCCAGCCCAAACTTGGCTGCCGCCTCTCGCGCTTGCTCCGTCGCGGCTTCCGCCTCGCCATCCGCCACCTCGCTGCTGGTCCGGGGAATCTTGCTCGCCCGCTCCCACTCGACTACTTCGCGTGGTTGGGTCGAGCGATAGACGTGCGGGACGTTCGTCTCGGGTTCGTAGACGCCGCGGATCGGGTTGTAGACGCGGACCATGCGGCGTTTCTTCGGTCGAGGAGGGGGAGGAGTCGGTTCGGGTGCGGGAGAGGCGGCGGCGGAAGGGGGGAGGAGGGACGGGGCGAGTGGAAGGGAGAGGCCCGCTGGCGGCAGACTGGGGAGAGAACCGAGGCCGGCGGAGAAGCCGGGTTGTGCCGCGTTTGGCGTACCAGGCGCAGGAGTGCCGTTCGCCTCCTCCATCTTGACGGACGGCGCCGGCTCCTCCTCATCGTCAGTGTACTCTTCCTCGATCCACTCCCAGCAGTCTTCCTCCCGCTCCTCCACGTTCAACCCGACCTGAACCTGCCCGACGTTCCCTCTCCGCACCGCAACCAACTTCGCATTCTCGTCTCGCACGTTCTTCGCATACTCGTGCATCCAGTTCTGCCACGTCAAGTGCGCCGCAGGCTTCGCCTTCTTCGCTGTCGGATCCCACGTCCGCCCGAAAGGCTGGATCCCCTGTCCTCCGAAAGTCGCGACGGGTCCGCCGCCGAGCTGAGACGCGATGAGGTCTGCGCCGGGAAGTTTGGGTTTGCCGGGATGGCCGATGAGGTGGTTGAGGCCGAGAGTCGTCGCGCCAGGAGGGGCGTTACCCTTCGATGTTGCGAGGGTGCCGGTATCCTTGTCGGGGTCGTACGCCTCGAGGAAGGCGGGTTCTCCAGGCTTGTGGCCGGCGGCAATTGCCTTGTCCTCGTCTGCGGGGAGAAAGGGTGAGCGAAAGGGGCCGGAGAGACAGTATGGTGAACGTACAGTAGTCGTCAACAACGTATTTGCCGTCTGCATACGAAGGAAGCGGTGAGCATGAGCTTCCGGACGAGCGTCGGCGGAAGAACGAAACGCACCCTGGACGAATGTCGCGCCCATCACCTTGAAGACGTTCCTGGCAGCCACCATCGTCACTGCACGACTCTTCAGGTTCCCGCTCAACCGCCCAATCTCAATCAGCCTGTCCTTCTCTTGTTGGTTGCACGTGAGCTTGTGTATCGTCGGGTTGCGGCGGAAGAAGTAGAGCGAGTCGCGGAAACCGGCGGCACGGGCGGCGTCGATGGAGAGGATGTAGACTTTGTTCTGATTCGGCCGCAAGGGTGAGGTAAAGGTGTGCACTTTCCACCGTCGGCCTGTCAAACGAGATGTTGGCTTCGAAAAGCAAATGAGTTTGAGTCGAGGGAGACGAACCACCGAGCAAGTTGCCGTACGAGTCGATCTTCATCTCTCCGCGCGGGTCGTCAGGCAATACGATCTCGTCGTCGCGGATCTGGTAGACCGTTCCCTTGATGTTCTGTGCGGGCACAAGCGAAGCAAGAGCGGGATAGCCGTCAGTTTACGCGCCCCGCCCCGCACTCCAACACACTCCACGCACAATGCTCGTCTTGGGCTCCTTCTTCTTGAGAAAGTTGAGCGCCCTCGACTTCTTCGCTGGCTGAGGTTGCGGGTCGGGTGTCGCTTCGGTAGTGGTCGCCTGCGCCGTGCTGTCCTCGCCCTCGCCATACGCGTCGTCTCCGACCTCACTACCCATCGGTGTCCCCACCGCGCTCGTGTTCATGCCTGTCGGAACTGCGGACGACGCGAGAGAAGGGGAGAAGTCGAGGACGGCGGACGAGTCGCGGGCGATGCGGCCTGGTTGGGCGCGCGCCGCTACGTGTAAGGACGATGCAGCCGGTGGACTGTCTTCCGGCTGGTACACGGAGCCCTCAGAGTCGGACGGCGCCATGTTTGTGTCCGGGTCGAGAGATGAGGTTTGGGCGGAGGCGCTGAAGGGGAAGGACGCGGTGGGAGCACGGAAGCGGCTGTAGAGCTGCTCAGTAGGACTCTCAGTGTCCAACAAGCTAATTCTTGGACGCGCTTGAGCGATGTAGCTGTGAGATAGCTCGCCAACCCTCCTCGCGCAATCCTTTCTCCTCGACCTGTCACTCCGCTTCTACTGCTGGACTTGACTGCACGCTATGGCTCGCGGAAAGAACGGTCAGAAGCGCACTCGCCCTCCCAAGCCGGCTCCCACACAAACTCCAGCACCTCCTCCTCCTCCTGCGGCCGCCCCACCTCCTCGAGCGCCCTCCCGTTCACCCTCTCCGCCTCCCCGCGACGAGCGCGAAGCCATCTCCGACATCGCAGAGCGTCTCGCCTACGTCGAGAACAACACGCTCGACATCACCGCTCTCGTCGCCCTCCTCTTCAGGCTCTGCGACCACTACGCAGAGCGAGTGAACACCTACCCGAGCGAATGGGAGGACTACCTCACGAGCGAATTGCGCCAGAGTTTCTGCGTCGGCCGCCATGGCGTCTTCGAGGACCTCGAGCGCGAGGGATGGCGAGGCGGCAAGCCAGACCGCCCCGACTCGTGGTTCCCGCCGCAAGTGCTTCGGCAGAAGGAAGAGCGGTGGGAGGAGGTTGCGAAGCGACAGTTTGAGGAGAAGGGCGACTTGGTCAGGCAGGAGGCTGGCGAGACGTTTGTCGAGTGCATGGAGCGCGCGGCGCAGATTGTGCGCGAGAGGGAGAAGGAGGGACCGGATGCGCAGAAGAAGCCGAACACGGTCTTCGTCGAGCCGGGTTTCCTGACGAGCGAGGACTGGACGTGGCAATTCAAGCAGCGGAGATTCGCGCGCGGTATCGACTTTGCGCCTTTCAAGCCGGAAATGATCGTCCTGCATTCGCGCAAAGACGGCATGGTCGGCTGGGCGCCCGCCAAGTTCGTCTTCACAACGTCTGACTACGAGGATCAGGGTGTGAGTCGACCTTTGCCGCTCAAGTCCATACGCAGCCGGTTGACGCCGCTTGTGGCTCGACACAGCTGGTTCCGCTGTACGCCCTCGTCCATGCTGGCTTCTGTATGCACACCCGTCACACTCGCTAGTCACGCCACACGCTGATTTCGCCTGCCCATGCCAGGCCTCTTGAACATGGCGACAGCTGAAGGACCACCCAATCCTCCGATCTATGAACTACATCATGCTGTGGATCCGCAACGCCGGTACGGATGACGACCAGATGGTGACTGGATCGCACGACTGGACTAAGGAGGTCGAGCAATCGGTTTTTGAGCAGCTGTTCGACAGGCTGCCTCAATGGCTGGAGCTGCCGAGCCAGGCGGAATGCGATTGGCGTGACCGAGCTCTGCGCGATGACCCCGACGTGCGTCGCGGACCCTGTTCGTCAGGATTCGCGGCCGACTGACAGGCTTGCACGACATCGCATCGCAGCGCGGCAAATGTCCTCGTCGCCCTTCAGACCGCGTCAAGGACGTCAGGCGCAAGCAATACGGAATCGAGCTCATTGACGAGATGCTCTTCCACAAGATGCATGAACAGTGGAGCGCGATGGGATTGGGCGGGTCCGCGCCGAGGCTTCGCTTCAGGTGAAAGACGGTGCGGTGGTGCGTGGCGCGGCAGCTGGACTCTCGCTAGTCTCTGGGACATATGCATGTATCGTCTGACGTGATTTGTAGAACGGTGTAACACTCGACATGTCGCTACAAGTGCGTCTCAAGGGAGGGGCGCTTCGTTCGTTGCGGTTCGCGCCGCGCAGCTCGCCCAGCTCATACGCTCGACGACGCTCTTCTCAAGCCCCTCTTTATCTATTCCTCGCTTCGGACCAACAATCTCTCCAACGCACCTCTCAACCCCTCCCCCAGCTCCTTGAGCGGCCTCCGGCTCTCCTCCTCCACGAAGACATGCACCATCTCACCCCACGCCGCCGCTCTCACCTCCTCACCACTCTTCTCGTCCTTCTTGACCCTCACTTTCCGCCCAACAGCCCCTTCACGCAACGAGTCGAGGGAAAAGCCGTCCATCCCTACCTCTCCGCCTGCATCGAGAGGGGGTACGTACTCCCCCTCGAACAACGCGATCCGCCAAGTGACAGACCGCGCAGAGAGATTTGAGACTGCTAGAGCGGCGACGACGGGGGAGGGGTAGGAGAGGGATGAGGCGTAGGATGTTGAGGAGGAGACTATTAGGCCGAGGGGAGGAGGTGAGGAAGGGGGACGGGGGACTTGGTGGACTGCAACCGGGAGAGGGTGAAGGTCAGCTTGGAAAGGAGGAGGAGAAGGGAGGGAGGAGGAAGGGGGATGACGGACTCAGGTAGTGGTTCGTGATGCTGTCGAAGTAGAGCGAGTAGACGACGTTATTCATGTGTCCGTACTGTGCATCAACATGATGAAGCGGTATCCTCAGCGCCTACTTCACTCCACGCGAGGAGGAGGACATCCGGACGCACCTTGTCGTTGTCTGCCCACCTCGTCTGGAACGGCAAGAAGTAGCGGAACTCGCTCGCCCTCGGAGGCTGTGGTCGCACAGACTTGCCCGCCTTCTCGCCCGTCGTGGCGCTGGACGAGGCAGCGCGGTGTGGGGCAGTCGACGTCGAGTTGGACGAGGACGACGGTGCGAGGTGTTGTGTGAGTTGCGCGAGTCGGGCTGGTGCGTGTGCCATTGTGCGAGTCGTTGCTGGGCGTCTGAGCATGCGGCGTCGATGTCGACGAGGGCGAGGACGGCGTCGTCGGAGATGAGAAGGTCCGGTGAAGGCGGGCACTCGAACAACAGCGTGCGCGGGCTGGGAGATGTCTGCAGTAATTCTGTGATACTACAACTTGATTTACTGGGCTGCACCGGAACCACCCAGAGCAAGTTGCGACTTCATCAGTCTGCCTCGAGCTCGAGCGAGCGCACTTCCCTCTCGTGCTCTACTCTCGCCCACCGCTGCCACCAGCTGGCTCACAGGGCACACAGCTAGACCCACAGCACTCGGAAACAGCCCCTGCACCCAACTCGCAGCTTGCCCCGTCCTTTCCCACTCTCCCGCACCGCCTCTCCTCCTCCCGGCCAACCATGGCCATCTCGAAGCGCAAGCAGACGCGCAACTTCCTCAAGAGCGGTCAGCTCTCTTCCCAAATCGAAGCGAGGCAGAAACGGCGGGCGTTCGAGCAGAAGAAGAAGGGCAGGGACGCGAGGCGCAACAAGGGCGTCTTGCCTGCGCACCAGCAGGTCAAGGATGTCGATTCCGCGGACGAGTTTGAGGAAGTCAAGCGCAAGAGGAAGGAGAAGGAGGTCGAGGAGGAAGAGGAGGACGAGGACTTTGATGTCGACGGCGTGCTTGGTGCCGAAGGATTGGGAGACGACGACGAGGCAGAGGAGCAGGGAGAGGTGCGTTGCACTTCACGCTTGCGTACGATGCAAGGCTGACAGAGTACCACGCAGGAGGGCGCATCCGACTTGGAGGACGACGACCTCTCTGGCCTCTCGGACGGCGAATCCGACTCAAACCCGATGGTCGACATGCAAGCCCTGGCCGAAAAGGACCCCGCCTTCTACAAGTTCCTCCAAGACAACGACCCCGAGTTGCTCAACTTTGACGCGGACGGCGATGCAGAGATGGACGACGAGGAGGACGACGAGGAAAGCGATGAGGAGGAGACGAGGGGGAAGAAGAGTAAGAAGGGCAAGGGGAAGGAGAAGGCGAGGAAGGGGGCGAACGAGCACACGCTCACGAAGGAGATGCTGCGGAGCTGGCAGAAGAGTATCCTCGAGGTGCGTACCCTTCTTTCTTTATCTCTAGTAACCTCCTCAACTCACGCCCGCCCGCCCGCAGACCCGCTCCCTCCGCTCCTTCCGCAAGCTCCTCCACGCCTTCCGCTCTGCCGCCAGTTCCGGCATCGACCGCGACGACCTCCCCTCGACATCGGACTCGGCGCACGCCGAGCACTACGAGATCCACGACCCCAAGTTGTTCCGCAAGCTCGTCCTTACGACGCTCAAGTATACGCCGGTTGTGTTGAGCTCGATGGTGCCGTTCAAGGAGGTCAATGGGAAGTTGTGAGTCGCCGTCCGCTTCGTTCTTGCTTCACCTCGCTCTCGCGAGTTGACGCTGATGGGTGCTCCCGTCGGCCTGCAGCAAACTCTCGACCAACTCGAAGCAATACGCCATCGCCCAACGCCTTCTCAAATCCTACTTCGTCTCCCTCCAGAACCTCCTCTCAACCGTCTCCTCCACATCCGACATCCCCTCCTACGCCGTCACCGAATCCGCCAACCTTATTCCCTGGATCGTCGGGAACCGGAAAGTTGCCAGGGGGCTGGTGAAGATGTTGCTTGGAGTGTACGAAGGCGGCGCGAGCGATGAGACGAAGGTGCAGGCGTTTGCGGCGCTGAGGAAGCTGGCGATTGCGGCGGACCATAGCTTGCGGGAGTCGATCATGAAGGTGCGTCTGTCGGCACCCGCTGAGACGCCTTTGTGCCCATGGGAGGCGGCGATACTGACCCTCGCCGTTGTGGAGCACAGGGAACCTACGCCGCTCTCCTCGCCGCCTCGCGCCAAACCTCCGTCCACACCCTCCCCGCCATCGAGCTCATGAAGTACTCGGCTTCCGAACTCTTCCTCCTCTCGGGCAAGCAAGAAACCGACCTCGCGTATCAGCTCGCCTTCAGCTACATCCGCTCTCTCGCCGTCCTCCTCCGCAAGGGCGTCAAGGACGCGAGCAAAGAGGCGTTCAAGTCGGTTTACAACTGGCAGTTTGTCCATGCGGTCGACTTTTGGAGTATTGTCCTGTCGACGGCGGCGGACAAGCAGAGGGTTGCGGAGATGGGAGAGAGCCCGTTGCAGCAGTTGCTGTACCCGCTCATTCAGGTTGCGCTTGGTGCCATCCGGTGCGTCCGCGTCTTCCCTTTCCGACTGCAGAAGACCTTGCCTGACCCTTACACTCTGCCTTGGCGCAGCCTCGTCCCCACGTCCCGCTACTACCCTCTCCGCTTCCACCTCATCCGCTCCCTCCTCCGCATCGTCTCGCGCACCGGCACCTACATCCCCCTCGCCGCCTCGCTCTTCGAGATCCTCAACTCGCCCGAACTGACCAAGCGCAACAAGCCTTCGACGCTCAAGCCGCTCGACTGGGACTACTACCTCAAGTGTCCGACGGCGTACCAGCGCACGCGGGTGTATGCCGATGCGCTCGTCGAGGAACTCGTCTACCTCTTGACGGAGTACTACGGCGCGCTTTCGACCTCCATCGCCTTCCCTGAACTCGCCCTCCCCGCTATCGTCACCCTTCGACGACACGCAAAGAAGGCCTCGACAGCGAAGCAGGGCAAGCTCGTCGCGTCGGTCAAGCAGCTGGTTGAGAAGCTCGAGTCGAACACCAAGTGGATCGAGCAGCGTCGGGAGAAGGTCGATTTCGCGCCCAACAAACGTGACAAGGTCGACCGGTTCTTGCAGAATGAGGAGACGGACAAGACGCCGATGGGGACGCACCTCAAGTTGCAGCGCAAGTTGAGGGAGGCGAAGAAGGCGACGATGGAGCGCGCGGCGCATGCGGCCGAGGACATCTAGGCGTGGAGGCGGTCTTTCCGTGCTTCCCTTGACTTGCAATGCGCCAGTCATTGAGCTCGTCACATGGCAAGGCCTGGTCTGCGAGAACGCGAGCGAGAAAGACGCAGCTGTCGCGAACGGCTGTGTCTGGCAGTCTGGCCGGTCTGACGAAGAAGACGCATCACGTTGTCTGCTGGCGAAGGGCTACTAAGTTGGCGTTTCCTTCCCCAGATCCCACTCCCTCGTCTTGCCCTTCTTCGCGTACTGCATCTCCATCAGCCCACTCTTCGGGTCGTAGCGAGGCCCAACCTCCTCCTCGCTCGAGCTGTCGCTCCCACTTCCATGTCTGCGCTTCCTCTTCCTCCGCTCCTCGCGCTCCTTCCGTATCCTGTCCCTCTCAGCCTTGCGTTCGAGCTTCTCCCTCAGCTCCTTCTCCTTCTTGTCCTCCTTCCGAGCCTTGACAACATCCAGCATTCGATCCCATGTATCAAAAGCCCCTTCCGCGATCAAGCCCGTCGAGCGGTCCGTCACATCGTCGAGCGAATAGTCGAGACGAGGGTCGTAGTTCTCGGAGAAGTAGCGGTCCATCTTGGAGGGCAGGGGTTCGGTGGGTACTGGCGGCGGAGGCGATGCGGGGAGGGGAGCAGAGGGAGAGCGGCGGTGCCTGCACAATGCGAGGTCAGCGACAAGAGAGTGCGAGCGAAACGCACAAGGACGCACCGCTTCGACCGATGAGCATGCCTCTGCCGCTCGACTTCCGCATCGACCTCGGCAAAAATCTCGTCAAGATCCCGCTCCTTCCCTTTTCCTTTGTCCCGCGAGTCGGGCCCAGCTTCGACTTCGACCGTCCAACTGCGCCGGTCACTTCGTTCTTCCCGTCGAGGAGAGTCGCGTCGACGGTTACGGCCATCGTCTTCGGCAGTTTGTCGGCGAGAGGAGTCACTGGATCGACGACTGTGCCGGTCGTCGTCTCTCCGAGGAGATGGCGAACGGGATCGACGTCCGTGTCTGCGAGACGAGCGATGGCCGTCCCGTCGTTCTCGGATTTCGTCTCGTTCGTCAAGGCGTCGTCCTGCGTCACTTCCGCTTCTCGACTCGTGTTCGTCAAGGCCCAGCTCTTCCCGTCTTCGCCGCACTCGTCGCCTGTCCTCCTCGTCTTCATGTCGCCGTCGCCTGTCCCCATCATTCCCCCTCTCGCCTCTCCGCTCTCTCCTCCACTGCTCGACCGCCTGCCGCTCCTCCTGCTCGCGTTTGCGGGCGGCAGCTTCGTCTGCTCGCCGCAGAGCGGTGTTATGGTCGTCGACGTTTCGGATCACGGCAGACAGGAAGCGAGTGTTCGGCTTGCGGATGGCCGCGGTCCTGCGCACCCAGCCTCAAGGTCAGCACTCGCCCTACAGGAAGCCAGAACGACCGCACGCACTTCTCCTTGTCCGGGTCGTAGTACGCCCTCGTCCCTCTCTCGCCCCACATCTTGTCCTTCTGCTTCGCCTCCTTGAGCAACATCTCTGCAATGCGCTTGTCCAGCTCGTCGTCTGCCACGCTCGTCGCAGCCGAGCCAACCTGAGCTCGTGTGAGAGACGAGACGATGTCGGTGAGCGAACCGTAGTTCGTTGCGCCGCTGGAGGCTGAGCCGCGGCTAGGGCCGGCCTTGGGTGGCATGATGAGCCACGTTCAAAGCCTCAGCGAGCCTCACAACCCAGTTAGAGCGAGAGCGAGCGAGTGGTTGTCTCCCAACCTGCTCGTCGCCTCTTGGCCTTCAACGAGCCACCTCAGCCGGCGACAACTGCTTTTTTGGCTGTTCGAGTACTCGAAGCTTGCTCAGATGTACTAGTCTGGCCTGTCGTGCTTCAGACCCGCGACTTAAGGCTGCTGTCACCGTGCAGCGGCTCGAGGAAAGGGAAACAGTCATGGTGCGTCTTCTCCCCTACTCGCCGCAGGTACTGTTGAGCTGACCGACGTTGTACAATGCTCAGACGCTTAGTGACCGTACCGTCGGCGGTGCGGACCTTCTTGCCAGTTTCGCGGATTCCTGTCCTCGCTCATAATCGCTTCTTTGCCTCGAACAGGCGTCGGTTTGCTGTGTTCGATCTCCTTCTTCCTCTACTACACGCTATGGACCCTGCTCAGCGTGCGTCGGTTGCGGCGCTGTCTGGAAGGGGACGCCCTGCTGACCCTCCTTTGCTCACACGCCTCGCTTTCCTGTCCCTCTTACGTCCTCCCATGCTTTCCTGCGATTCGCAACGGCTCATCACAGCCCTTCCTCCCGCCCTCCTCTCCGCTCCTCATCCTCTTCCCGCTCTCTCGTGAATGGGCAATCCGCCTCCCCGCCCTCATCCTCCTCTTCGGCCTCTGCTTCGTCGGCATGGTCACCGGCTTCGTGTTGATCGAGACGGCGAGGAAGAAGGAGCGAGCGCGACGGCTGAAAATGGTGGCAGGACGGCATAGCGCGGGAGGAATGAGAAGGAAGGGCGATTGAGCGGGACATGGGTCGCATACGAGCGCAAGAGAAGTGAGCCGTCGCCGTCACAGCGCAGCATCAAGACGGACTAGTCGCAGCCGCCCGACTACATTCGCCGAAGCACCAGAACCGGAACCGGCTCGTCCCGTCGGGTTCGCCAACTGAGCGCTCGAAGGGGCGGAAGGATCATAGCAGGAGAAGCAGAGCATTGACGAGATCTAGCATGAAGCGTCAGGCGTCAGGTACAGCGGCGCCCAGACAGGCGAGTCGTTTGCGGAATTAGCGACGTGGACAATGCGGGAGGTTGCGAAATGCGAATGCGAGTTGCGAGTTGCGCGGTGCGTTGGCCTGTCGATAGCTCTACCCTGATCTCCAGCGAACATCTAGCTCTCCTCAATCCCCGCCAAAATGTCCTCCATCTTCTCGCGGTTCTCCATCTCCTCCAGCTCGCTGTTGATGATGTCGAGCGTCTCGCCTCCTTCCATCGCGTCCTCGAGCGACGAGAGCGTAAGCGGGATACGGTGATCCGTCAAGCGACCCTGTCAACCCGAAACTCTGCTCAGCCGAAGCAAAGCGAAGTGAGAAAGGACAATCGCACCTGAGGGAAGTTGTAAGTCCGGATCTTCTCGCTCCTGTCTGCGCCGCGGAACTGTGTACGGCGCATCGACCGCCGCGCTTCTTGGTCTGCCTGGATCTTGCGGTCGAGCAAGCGAGCGCGGAGGACTTGGAAAGCTTTTGTTCGGTTCTGCGTGAGGGAAACCGTGGTCAGTAACGGCGGGAAAGCGAGATTACAGATTGTAAGCAAGACGCACCTCGTGCTGCGAACGCGAGTCTTGCATCGAGACGGTTACGCCGGTCGGCAAGTGCGTGAGGCGGATAGCCGACTCTGTTTTGTTGACGTGCTGTTCGCGCGAGCAACGTCGTCAGCTCGGGACCGCAGACAGAATTATAGAGGTCGACGGCGGAACGAACCTGACCACCGGCACCGCGCGACCGCATCGTCTCGACCTTGACGTCCTTCATCTCGAAGAGGTCGTCCTCGATCTGCTGATTGCCCGACTCGGACGGCAGGACCTGGAAGGTCAAAAAAACTGTGAGCTGAGTGCATCCTGGCAGGGGTAGGGTCGGAACGTACGATGCAGGCGACCGTACTCGTGTGCACTCGTCCTTGACTCTCCGTCGCTGGAACACGCTGTACCCTATGCACACCCGCCTCTCGCCTCAAGTATCCGAACGCTCCATCTCCACTGACCTCGACCAGTGCTTCCTTGTACGCGTTCCCGAAACCCGCTCCTTCGAGCGACGTGTACTCGACCACGCTCGCTTTCCACCCTCGTCTCGTCGCTAACCGCTGATACATCTTGACCAACTCGGCCGCAAACAGTGCCGACTCGGACCCTCCTACGCCGGCTTTGAGCTCGACGAGTGCGGAGAGAGAGTTGGCTGCTGGTGGAGGGGCGATGACGGAGACTAGTGTTCGTCGGGCCTCGCGGAGGTGAGTTTCGGCATCGGGGATGTCGGCTTCTGCGAGGTCGCGGAGGTCGAGATCGGATTCGGAGGCGGAGAGTTGGAGGAGTTCGAGAAGGGTCTGTTTCGAGGAGACGTCGTTAGATACGTCGGAAGGTTACTGGCACGCTCGAAACCCAGTAGTGTGACGCAGCACAGCGATCGGAAGTAAAGCCAGAGTGATCGAACGCTCTAAGCGCCGTGACTCACTTCTTCTGCCGCCTCGACGTCTCTCAGCGCAGCCCTCAGCGTCTCCAACTGCTTACTCCGCTTCGCCGCCTCAATCGACCCCTCGTCCATCTTGTCTCCCTCCTCCAGAACCTTCCTCGCAGCCTGTATGATCTGTTCCTCGAACGGCGGAGGGGGAGGAGCGGCATACGAGCGGGATTGAGGGCGCTGGAGAGTGAAGGGGCGGACGGCGAGGTTGCAGGTGCAGCGAGGGAGGGTTTGGCCGGTTGCTCGAAGTATCGAGCGTGCTACTGGGGTCATCGCGGCGGTGTGAGGGCTAGTTGCGGGCTGTTAAGGGGAAAGTAGTCGGGAGGAGGAAGAACAGGATGAGGCGAGTTGGGAGCTGCGCAGAGTTGCCCGACCGGTCCGCAATAGTGCCTCGAGCAGTTCGCCAACCCAGGCAAGCCAAAGGAAAGCGGGGACAGCGCTGTGGTGCGCGCCAACCCTCTCCTCGACTGCTCGCCTGCTGCTCGTCTCGCTCCACCCGCTCAACTCGCCATGGCCAGCTCCGACTTTGACCCCGAAGCGCTCAAGAAGCTGCAGGCTCGCACCCAGCAGCTCAAGATCGGTGCGCTCGCGTTCTTTCAGCGTCTCGCGCCGTCCCCTCGTCGTCCCCATCCAGCGACGACCCGCAACACAGCGGCAACGGCGCCTGGATGGTTGGACTCGTGCAGTATCATGGCGCTAGCGTGTACTGATTCGCTTGCACAACTCGCGCGGCCCTCTTCGCAGGCGGCGCCAAGCAGCCCATGCGTCGCAAGGTCGCTCCCAAGCCGGTCGCCGCGCTCGATGACAAGAAGCTCCAGGCGCAGCTCAAGAAGCTCAACGTCCAGTCGGCTGGCAGTGCGTCCTGCTGCTACTTTCCGGTTCGCGAATGGCGGGTCGCGTGCAGGTTGCCCGAGAGGGCGGTCTAGCGGGGAGGACGACGAGGCTGACTGCGTTCTGCTTCGCTCTTTGCGCGTGTTCCCTGCATGGACAGCCGTTGAGGAGGTCAACATGTTCACGAACGGCACCGCTGTCCTCAACTTCCAGCGCCCGACCGGTCCGTCTCTTTCCTCCGCCTCCTCCGTTCTCCGCTGGCTGACCCAGGAGCGACTCGTTTACTTCGCCCACGCTCACAGTCCACGCCGCCGCCGGCTCGAACGTCTACGCGATCTACGGCCGCGGGATGCACAAGGACCTCGCCGAGCTCATGCCCAACGTCTTGAACCAGCTCGGCCCGGACACGATGGCGCAGCTCAAGCGCTTCGCGGAGCAGTACCAGGCGTCGCAGGCGGCGCAGGCGGGCGGCGCGGAGGGCGAGAACAAGGAGGCGGACGACGAGGAGGTGCCCGAGTTGGTCGAGGCGGCCGCTCCTGCAGAGGTGCGTCTGCGCGCTTGGCTCCTTTGCTTGTCCTCATGGCGGCCAGATCGCTCACTCGCTACTTCTTCTCGCAGCAGGAGGGCGTCAAGCTTGAGGATATTGTGCGTCTCCAGCCTGCCGTCTTGCTGATTGCAGACCCCCACTAACGCTCCGTCCTCGCGCTCTCAGAACTAAACGGATACAGTCTCTCTTCGTCTCCCTTTTGCCCTCTCGCATCCCACGCATCTACGCCTTTTCCCGGCCGACTCTCGTTCGGCACCATCTTCGCAGTTCTCCTTTTCTCTTCTCCCTCTCTCTCGCCGCGCAACCTCCCGGGCGCCGGTTTGGGTTGGACCTCTTCCTTCTCGTCGGACGTACGAATCCAAAAACTACAGAGTGTGCCTTCCTACGAATCGTTGGTGGTGCATCCTCCTGCAACCCTTCTGAACGGACCAGGCGGGGACAGAGAGAGACTTGCGAACTGCGTCCGACTGGCTGCTGTCTGTGTGCTAGCCGTCCCAACAACGCAAACAGCGCAGTCCAGCGCGTCCTCGAGCGAGTTGACCCACCCCCGCTCCCTGTCCTCCTCGCGGGTCGACCCTCGTCCTCCTTGTCCTCGCTCGCACCACGCCCAGCTCGCTACGATGGCCGACTCACCTCGCACCGGCACTCCTCCCGCTCGCATTCCCGGCGCAAAGGGCCCGCAGATGCAGATGCGGTGCGTGTGGTGTCCTCATCTCCACGCTCGTCGACCGCGCGCCGTTCTCCTCCTCACACCGCGTGCTGACTCTTGCGTGTGGCTGATCCGACTTGTGTGACCTGGATGGACGGAACAGACGACGCGCCGCTGCGCTCAACGGCAAGAAGGACGACGTGCCCCATTCGGCGCGGGCGGCAGGACACGGCGGGAGCTCGAGCACGATGATGAAGCTGTACACGGACGAGGCGCCCGGTCTCAAGGTGTACGTTTGGCTCCCTTTCTGCGGGCTCGTCTGGGCGGAGGAGGGGAGGCGAGGTTGGACGGCGAGGTTGGACGGCGAGGTTTGGACGTGGAGCGCGATGAGGAGGTGAGGGGCGGCGTGGAAGGCTACGAATGGGCTAGAGGGAGACAGACGTGGATTTTGAAGCGCTCAACGGACGCGCACGCTGACGGTTTCCGCTCACACGACTTGCCCTCCCATGCCTCCTCCTTGACGACGACCTCTCCGCCCTCGACACCTTCGCCGACTGCAACGATCTGGAAACAGCGACCCCGTCATCGTCCTATCCCTCGCAGTCGTCTTCATCTTCAGCGTCGTCAGCCTGCACCTCCTGAGCAAGCGTGAGTCCTTCTAATTCTGATCGTCTCCTTTCCGCTCGTACTGACGCTTCTGCTGCCTTGCAGTCGTCCGCTTCTTCACCAAGTGATCCCTCCGCACGTACTGTCTTGTCACCGCATCTTCCCTCTCCCGCCGCCGCATCCACACGATACCACCCTTTCTCGCGCCTCAAAGGACGGAAACGACGAGCCAGGAACACGGGGAACCGCAGTCGGAACGAGGCGCACGAGGTGCATGCAGGAGTCTGAATTGTGGTCGTCGTCGCAGGTTGTCTCTGGCGCTTCAAGCGCTCGCTGTCTTGTAACATCAGCCATTTTGCAGTCGAGGGTCCGGGAGGAGAATAACGGCTGCCTCGTCTCGCGAGCGGACCCGGCTCCGCTTCAACGGTGTTGCAAAATCGTTACAAGACTGCATCATTGACGGTCACAGCTTCTGAAAAGGTTGCGGATTTCGCATCGACAGAGCCGTCTTGGCTTCAACGACGTCGTCGTCGACCTCTTCCCTCTCGCTTGCTCACGGGAGGTCGTGCTTGACTGTGCTAGTCCCTGCAGTGTCTGCGAGTACCCGGGTGAACGGCAGAATGGGCCCGCTCGACTACCATTTCCACACTCCGCCGCCATCCTCGACACACGGCACCTCTGGCTCGACCCCTCGCTCGATGACGCCTGTGCCCTTGCTGGACTCGCCCTCCTTCGACCCACACCTCCCGCCCGCCAACCCCTACGCAGCAGGCTCCTCGTCATCGGTCGTCCCATCTCAACCCGCTCCGCCGCCTCAACAGCCCACACGAACAGCTTCCGGCCGAGCAAAGGGCCCACCGTTGAGGAGCCAGACGATGGACGATTCGTTCTATGGCGGTCCTGGCGAACCGAGTGCCGTGACGAGGGGGTTGGTCCCGCCGCAACACGCTCAGGGTCAGTGGGGTGCTATCGGACAAGGTGAGTCACGGTCGAGGGCCGCTTTGCATGGCAAGACAGAGTGCTACACGCTCTGTCAAGCCTGTTGCGCCGGGGGACCTTGGTAACTGACGGAATTCCTCCTCCTCACACCTCTCGCTCTCGAACCCTCCGACACGCCCTCATCAACAGGGTACGCCTCTTCTCCGCCCAAAAACTCTGGCTTCTACAACCAGGGCAACCACTCTTCCCCCTCTCTCGCCGTCGTCCCCGGCTCGCCCAGCTCCGTCCCGCCTTTACCCTCCCTCCCGGCCTCGAGCGTGAACGGCTCGACCTTCTCCCCCTTCGATGTTCCGGACCTCCCTCGACTACCCGCTATCGATGACCTCAACCTTGGGATCGAGAACATGCGGTTCGAGCAGCGAGGGGCGGGGTCAAGAGGGAGCAGCGACCTGGCGCCTGGTGGGTCAGCGTCGGCGGGAAGGCGGTACAGCCCGAACGACATTGGGTCCATTGGACACGGACCGGACGGAGCGATGGAGATTCGGGGACGAGGAGATGGAACGGCGAGCGTCTATTCGGTCGATAGCGGGCCTGGGCATTCGTTTGGCGGAGGCGGGGCAGGAGCTGGTGGATGGCCTGCAGGCGGTGTGCATGCCAGGACGACGTCGGCGTCGTCGAGTCGGTACGGCGGCGCTTTCGACGCCCCGCTGTACGGCAAGCGAGACTCGCTCGGCGGAGTCGAAGGTTACGCGGACGTCGACGCGGGTCGACCACCGAGCAGCGGCAGCTACCTCCCCTACGACGACGCATACGGCGGCCAAGCACCGACGTCCAACATCCCTCAACCGCCTCACGCCGTCCCCGCGATGCAGAACTCGCCCTACCCGGGTACAGGCGGCGACTACTTCGGTGGCTCTGGTGTCCCTCCTTCCCCTGTTCCTTCTCAACACGCATCCTCAGCTTTCTTCCCTCCTTCGCACATGGGTGGCTACCCGGCTGGTCCGGCAAACCACCTTGGCTTCCCCTCTCAGCCTGGCCCGTCTTACCAACAAGGTCCGCCGTTCCAGCCTCAGCCAGGATACGGCGGCACATGGGGACCCGACTACCAGGCGATGGCGGCCGCGCAAAACCCGTACTACGCCGCCGCGACCGGCCAACTCGGACTCGACCCGTCCAAAGCGCCTGGTCTCGCACCTGGTCCTCCGGCAGGCCCGTATGGCGGAAATCTCCATCGCGGCGTCTCGAGCGTCTCGTCACTCGGTGTACCACCGCAGGGCTCGACGAACTCGCTCGCGCGGTCGCAGTCGTCGCTTCAGATTCCTGGCGGAACGATGCGGCGGAACCCGACTTCAGCCTCGACCGGTACAGCGGGCTCGTCGAGCTCATCCGGTCCGCCGATCACGAAGGCATCTGTCGACGAGTATCGCCAGCGGATCAAGGCGGATCCGGACCCCGAGGCGCAGTTCAACTTTGCCAAGTACCTCATCGAGGCGGCCAAGCGGCTCAATTCGGGCGCCAACGCCGACGACAAGGCGGCAAAGAAGTACCGCGATGCGCTCGTCGCCGAATCGCTCAAGCTCATCAAGCGGCTCGCGACGCAGGGGAGCGGGCTCGGCAAGCCCGCCTATGCGGACGCGCAGTTCTTCCTTGCGAACTGCCTTGGGAATGGCTCGCTCGGCTTGCAGATTGACCACGAGAAGGCGTACAACCTCTACGTCCAGGCGTCCAAGCAGAACCACTCGGCCGCGACCTACCGAACGGCCGTCTGCAACGAGCTCGGCGCCGGCACGCGGAAGGACTACGCTCGCGCAGTACTGTTCTACCGCAAGGCGTCGGCGTTGGGCGACACGGCGGGCATGTACAAGCTCGGGATGATCCTCCTGCACGGCTTGCTCGGGCAGCAACGGAACCCGAAGGAGGGCCTCGCGTGGCTCAAGCGTGCAGCGTCGCAGGCGGACGAGGAGACGCCGCACGCCTTGCACGAGCTCGGCACGTTATACGAGAAGCCTCCGCCTTTGCTCTCGGCCGCGACACTCGGCGGCAAAGCTGCTGCCGCTCAGCTCCAGCAACAACAAGCTAGCGGGCAAGGCGTCCCGACTCTCGTCCCTTACGACCCAGCACAAGCGCGCGAACTCTTCACTCAGGCCGCGCAACTCGGCTACCCGCTCTCGCAGTTCAAGCTCGGGTCGTGCTACGAGTTCGGCAACCTAACCTGCCCCGTCGACCCTCGGCGGTCGATTGCGTGGTACACCCGCGCAGCGGAGCGAGGGAACCCGGATGCGGAGCTCGCGCTGAGCGGATGGTACTTGACCGGCAGCGAGGGCGTCCTCAAGCAGAGCGACAGCGAGGCGTACCTCTGGGCGCGGCGGGCGGCGAACAAGGGCCTGCCGAAGGCTGAGTACGCCGTTGGCTATTACTCGGAGGTCGGTATCGGCGTCAAGGCGGATCTCGAGGAGGCGAAGCGGTGGTACATGCGTGCGGCTGGTGAGTTGGACCTGCTTTCTCGCTTGCGAAGCGATGCCACGCGTTTGCATCGTGTTCATTTGCTGATGGCGTCTGCGCGTCCACAGCTCAAGGCAACAAGCGCGCGATGCAACGCCTTACCGAGCTGAAGAAGCTCGGAGCCGACAAGCGAGGTGCGGCTGGCGGCAAGAAGCGCCCGACTCGCAAGGACGCCGAGACGGAGTGCGTCGTAATGTAAGGACGCGACGGCCTCCTTCGCCACTCGACGCCCTCGCTCCACCTCAATCGCCGCCTCCCGCCCCACGACGCCTCCCTCTCACCCACTCCTCCTGCCCATAGACCTATTCTCCGCGCCTTTTTCACGACGCATACACGACGCCTAATATCCCTCTTCTCCTTTCGGTACCCATGCCTCGTCGAGCAGTCGCCTCTTTCGCAGGCTCATGCCGTCGAGGCCGCATTTCTCCCCTTCGTTCTTCCCCTCCGATTCTCCTATCTTGTACCGCTCTGGCTTTGTTTGATCTGCAACATGCAACTGTAGGACGACATACTGGCTTCCGCGGAGGAACACGACTTGTCCTCGTCGCTCCTCTTCCTCCTCGCTTTCCCTCCTTCGTCTCGCTCACTTTCGCTTCCGCTGCGCCTCGCTTGCGGCTTGAGCTCTGCTTCGCTCGTCGCGTCACTGCCAGACTCCTTTCCAGCGACAGGGCGACACCGAGAGCCCGCGCACGCCTCCCTCAACTTCGGACCTCCTGAACGCCCCTCGGACTCGCCCTCCTCCCGTCCTCTCGCCTCAAAGTGCCTGCTGGACCGGCACAACACGACACAGACACCTCGACACACGCCCGAGCGCACCGAACCATGAACTTCTTCCGTCCGTCTGGGTCAAAGACCAAGGCGCCGCCCGACCTCGTGCGGAGCCTGCGCGAGGCGATCTACAAGCTCGATAGTCCGCAGGTCGGCCCAGAGCAGAAGAGAAAGGTGCGCTCGTGCGCTTGGCCATTGGCTTCCTCTCGCTCTGAGGGAGGATGGGCGTGACAGCTCGGTGGAACGTCGTCAGGTGGGGGAAAGTGCGGTATGGAGATGAGCAGGGCGTGAGAAGGGACAGGAGACGTTGAGCAGCGGTTGAACGGTCTCGCACGGCGGACGGCAGGCTGACCAGTCGCTCTCTTGATCTCACAGGCGAACGAGGACATCTCCAAGTACCTTTTCCAGATGAAGGTCCTTCTGTACGGTGACGGCGGTCAGTCTGAGCCTGTCTGTGCGATCAAGAACGACTACTGAACCTATCCAATCGCAGAGACCGAGCCTCAACCCGAAATTATCGCCCAACTCGCTCAGGAAGTCTACGCGAATGACCTCCTCCAGCTTCTCGTGCACAACATCTGGCGTTTCGAGTTTGAGGTGAGTCCTTCCTACGCCTGTGACTGCTAGAAGGCCGACGACTGACGACGAGCGATAGGCACGGAAAGACGTATCGCAAATCTTCAATAACCTCCTTCGACGACAGATCGGCACGCGGTGGCCGACGGTGGAACACCTGAGCGCGAAGGAGGAGACGATTTTTGCAGCGCTGAAAGGGCGCGTACTGGCTCATCGACTGTCCTGAACCGCTGGCTAACCTTCGCCGTGCAGATACGAGAACGCCGATGTCGCGCTCAACACGGGCATGATTCTGCGGGCGATGCTGCGACATGAGCCTCTCGCACGGATATTGTTGTACTCGGACAAGTGCGTTGGGGCGGCTGTGCGACACGATGTGAGCAAGACTGACCGCTTCCGGTGCGCAGGTTCTACAACTTTATCGACTACATCGAGCAGACAACGTTCGGTATCGCTTGCGATGCTCAGGCAAACTTCCGGGTGCATATCCAAGGTCAAGACAAAGGCGAACTTTCCGCTGACGACGCCTCCGCCGCACAGGAAACGCTCACTCGGCACAAACCGATGGTCGCTGAATACCTTGACGAGAACTACGACCAGGTGCGTTCCGTCCCGAACTGCGTCCCGTCATCTGCTCACCGTCGTGCCGCTTGCAGTTCTTCTCGCACTACTCGCTCCTCGTCCAGTCCTCGAATTACGTCACGAAGCGTCAGTCGCTCAAGCTCCTCGGCGAGATCCTGCTCGACCGGACAAACTTCAAGGTCATGACGCGCTACATCGCCAACGAGGAGAACCTCAAGGTCATGATGAACCTCCTCAAGGACCGGAGCAAGAACATTCAGTTTGAGGCGTTTCACGTCTTCAAGGTGCGCGTGCCGCGCTCGACTTGCGACTCTTTCCTTTCACTGTGGAAGCGTTGCTGAGTTATTGACCCGACGGTGCGCAGATCTTCGTCGCCAACCCGAAGAAGCCGCCTCAGATTGAAGCCATCCTACGGCGGAACAAGGACAAGCTGATCGCGTTCCTCCGCAACTTCCACAACGACCGCGACGACGAGCAGTTCAATGTGCGCTCGCTTTCTCTCCCTCTCTGCCAGATTGTCGCTGACTCTAACTGGACAAACGCAGGACGAGAAGAGCTTCCTCCTCCAGCAAATCGAGGCTCTCTGACCACTCATTACTCGATCCCTTCCACCACGCTTCACTGTATATCCCGTCGTTCGTCGTTCATTCCACCACACCACGCCTCGCCTCGCAACTATTCCCACATTCCCTTCCGCTCGCCTCTCGATACCCTCCTCCCCCTCGCTTTCCCCCCTAGCTTGTTCCACTTCGCATAGCGTTCCGTCTGAGGTCCTTGTTGCAAGCACACGTCGTTCCACCCGCTTTCGCATCCGTGTGTGCGAATGAGAGGAGGAATTGCGCCGACCATTACGAGAAATCGTTCTCTCGGAGTCTAGAGGACAAGGTGCCGAGGGGACAAACGTTGCACAGAATGTGTGTATGCGAGTACCAAGAGAGGAAAGGAGCAGAACCAGCTGACGGTAAGACGGAAGATGAGGGTGGAGACGGGTGCGTTGCGCTGTTCCCGCTTACGGGCCTGTCGGCGTCAAGCGTTAGCGCCGTTCATCGAAGTGGGAAGAGAGCGGGTACATACAGAACGTAAGGGTGTAGTTGGCCTTCTTCGCCTTCGGGCAAGTCCAGAGCGCCGACCCGCTCGATTCGTCGTCTGCACCTCGCTTGAAACCGTCAATCCCCGTCCTCACAAGAAAAGGAAAGGAGCACGACGCACAAGCATACGCATAAGCATCAGGACAGTTACTCTTGAACACCTCGTAGTACTGGACGTTCTCCTTGGGACACGTGGCGGGCGTGTCGAATGCCCCGGAGCAGCAGTTGGCCGAGTTTGAGGGGACGGGAGTGAGAGCGCGCGATTGGCATGAGGTGAGGCAGCCGAGGACGGTGGAGTGGGTCGAGTCGTAGACCGAGACTGCACCACCTCCTCATCAGCTCCTTCGTCAAGAAGCGGAGAAAAGGAGGAGGTATGAACGCACGCTCAGTGGGGCAAACCTCGTTAATGTCCTTCATACAACTCGGCTGAGCGCAACCGGCGTCGTTCGCGATACTCATAGGAACGTTCGTCCCATCCACAGCCGAGACGTCGTACCAGTCTTGGTCGGGCGAGGCGAGGTTCCATTCGCCGAGGGTGGCGGGTGGGACGCCGGTGCCGCCGACGCTGCGAGCGGAGGGTTAGGAGTGTTAGGAGGAGGGAGGGAAGGGAGGAGGAAGGGAGGACGGACCGCGCGCATTCAAGGCCGCCGTTGCAGCCGCCCGTGACGCAGCTGTTGCACTTAGTCCATCAATACGACGCTCTCTTCGGCGAGGGGTAGACGCACGTCGAAGGAAGAGTCGAGCCATCGAACTTGCAGCCCGTGCGAGCCCCTGCTCATCCGGTACCTCGTCAGCTCGTGCGCCATCGAGCTCGAGAAGCGGGAAAAGTGAGAACGTACAGATCCTGCCATTCCAATCCTCCGCTACCCACCCCCAAACCGTCAGCTTACCTATAAAGCGAGAAAGAGAGTGGGAGGGAAGGACAAAAACGCACCGACTTTGAAAGCGACTTTCGTACCCTTCTTCGCTTCCCAGCCTGTCGCATGGGAGGGAGCCGTACCGGCGGAGGTGAAGAGGGCCTGTTCCGTCGCCCTTCTTCGCGTCAGCTCGGGAGAAGAAGGGAGGAGGAGCAGGGAAGAAGAGGGGGG